CAGAAAGAAAGAACGGCTGAATAAAGGTTGATATTTACTGGCCATTTCTGTCAAAATAACATGGAAATAGTGCTTATCTTCATTATTAATCAAACGATCATGGAAGACTCTTTGACATTCATGGCAAAAGAGTCTAAATATCTGTAATTCTTCTCTTATTGTTCCTGGATCACACTGGAGGATACCTGTTTTTTGAAGAAAAGAAGAAAAATTCTACATTTGTGGTATATCTAGTAATAGCTGAATTAACCAGAAAATCCTGAAGTCCAGCTTTACCCCCACACTCCCAGGAATGAGTGGTCCCCCAGTGGACATACACGTATACACACATATGACAGTGGTGAAACAAAGCTGGGACACATTATCAGTGAAAATGGGGAAGGTAGCAGAAGCAGGGTATGTGGCCTAGAGAGAATTCTTTTCTAAGATGAGAGGTGTTACAGCAGGTTTCTACGCTGTTAAGCACGACCCAACAGAAGAGGAAGCACGGACGCTGCGGAAGAGAAGCAGGAAATACAAGAGCGAACTCCTCGCGTAGGCAGGAGGGGATGGGGCTCAGCACCAGAGGGAGTACTGGCACCCGAGAGGGGCAGGCACAGCGGGACCACTGCAGTAGGAAGGCAGGCAGATGCGGGTCGTCTGGGAGATTTGGAAGAGGAGGCAGTTCTGGCTTGCTTGCTTGTTTTTTCAGTGAAAAAGAAGACAGGCCATCAGCTGGGAGTGAGAAATGGGAGTGTGGCTTGAAGCAGTCAGCCTGGGGCTGGGGTCAAAGGTGACTTGTACATGGGGTGGGATTTCCAGACACGTCACCGACACCCATGTACGTACTCCTCTCCTGAGAGATCTGGGGTGGGTGGAAATGAAAGGAGGGGGCAGGCCAGGCAATGTGGGCTCCAGACACTACCTTGCACGCATTTGGATAAGTCCCTCAAGTTAAAGATGTAATGGGACTTGGCCGGTGTCGGCAGGAGATCAATGCTCATTCTGTTATAGATCTCGACTGAGGCTTCTACAATGTTTGATGCAGTCTGCTTTACAGCCGGTAGGAAGTCACTCAGGAAGCCACTGAGGATGGCCTAGAACCAGAAATGTAACATGAGAGCATCAGAGCCTTTTTTTTGTAAACCAAAATTTATCTTTCAAAAACTTCGGATCTGGTGACACTTCCTCTAGTAGTAAGTAGAAGCCAAATTCCAACGTGAGGACACGCGGGTGCCAGGACTCTCCATTTCAGAGTCTGTTCTCCAGAATGGACTCACTCCTGTCTCCGTGACTGTCTGGTGAGGCCTGAGCAGCATTCACATCTGAGGCGTGGACTTGCCATGAACCCACTTCCCACGTAATTTAGACCTCTGCTCGCTGTGGGCCCAGAGGGTCTTCATGGAGTGCCCAAGTTATCTGGGAATGACCCGAAGTCCTCTCTCTGATCTTTATGGGTGAATGACCAACAGCTCCGCAGACTTTCATCTTCATGTATACTGAAAGTGCAGCTTACTGATAGCTACGAACTCCCCACCCTTCCGCCTCCCCATCTTGGTGTACGGCCCCGCCCTCCACTCAGATCACGAACTTGACGGTCTCTTTTGACACCTGCCACTGTCTGTCCCCTGCAGTCAATCTTGAATACGTTTCTTGAATCTGTCTGCGTCCTTCTGTTTCCTGATGTCACTCCATCCCAGCCCCGACTCTTTTCCATCTGGGCTTCTTCACTCCCTCCTTCACTCACTGGCCTCTCCATTTCCACTCTTGTCTTCCTTCTGTTTCCATGAATCAGTCCCGCACTCCCCTGTCAGTGCAGGCTCTGCCCCCACGCAGCCTCCTCCCTACCCTCTCTCCCCACTGCTCCCGGTGCCCGGAGCAGCGTGCAAATTCAGTACTTCATCATCAGTCCTAAGCTACCTGGGACACCCCGCTCAGCACCGATCACATACATCACAAAGTGTGTCCGGAGGGCATGGTTGGAATCACTCATTTCAAACTTTAGAATAAAAGGTTCTCAACCGAAAAAGTCTTGGAATACCGGTGCTGGTCCCTGTACCCGCTTCACGCCATGTTCTTTACTTGCTGCTTAATGATGGGAGCCAACATCCTAACCTTTCACACTCTCAAGCACTCTCTGAAAGGGTTGCAAAATGTGGCAGTTCTACACATCCTGTTGGCATCAGCACTTGAACAACTCATTGGAACTACCTCAAATTTATTAAAAATAATTTTCCACGGATGTAAGCTCTTTCAGTATGGAAACCACTTTCCATGTGCTGACGGCTGTGCACGTGTGGGTTCTGCTCCTTCCTCTCCTCGAGGAGGGAGGGCCCGGCTGGAAGGAGAGGCTGACGCTGGTGAGTGCAGAGGCTCATGTACCGCCCCCGCCACTGGCCCTCTTCGGCTCTGGGGTGACTAAGCCAATGTCAGCCTCCCCAGACCAGTCACCCGTCTTATCCGACCTGGACACCCCCTTTGCCATTTCCTGACTCTGTGACCTCATTCACCCACATGTCTGTTCCTCCCAGTCAGTTCCCACCCCACAGGACACAGCTCAGTCTCCTCTGAGCATCTTTGTGCGTGTGTGTGTGTTATGTTTTCGTTTTTTAAATTACTTTTTTTGATATATTTTTATTGCAGTATAGTTTGCAATGTTGTGTCAGTTTCTGGTGTACAGCACAATGCTTCAGTCACATAGGAACATACATATATTCACTTTCATATTTTTTTTCACCATAAGTTACTACAAGATACTGAATATAGTTCCTTGTGCTACACAGTAGAAACTTGTCTATCCATTTTATATATAGTAGTTTGCATCTGCAAATCTCTGAGCATCTTCGCTAGCTGGTTAGGGCATCCCCGCTCTGCTCAGGCTGCTTCATGCTCTCCCATCGCTCTATTCAGAATAACGCCTCACACTTGCTGGACACGTCTGCTGAGCCCTACAGGGCAGACACAGTTATTTCCCCACTTAAAGGAGGAGGAAGTGGCCCCTTGGGGAAATTTGTACAGATGGAAGAAATACAGCTGCTTGTTTACGCTGGAGCTGGTGGCTGCAGCGCTGGTGAATTCTGGGTTAGGTGGGCTGAGCTTGGGCTCGCTGGGTTATTGGGGGTGGCGTCTGGTGGGCAAGTGGACACAGACGTGGTGGTCGGAGGGGGATGAGCACAGAGTTGGGGGCTGGTAGTGTACGAGATCTGCTGGGCGTCCAGGGCTCAGGGGACAGCCTTCCTTACAGGTAGGGGCTGTGTTTTGACGACTCTAAAGCCATCTCCGAGCCCACAAACACAGAAGGCTGTGATGCATATGCCTGTCGGATGGTGCCCAGGTGGCCCTGGGTTTACCGGGTTTCTGCTCAGGGAAGGCTGGGGGGGCTCCCTGGAAACACAACAGACTCTTCTGATTGTGCGAGTCTTGGAATAAATACGTTTCCTTTTCCCCTCCTGCCCAAGGTTAAATGCACACTCACCTGGAAAATCTGTTTCAGACTGTGCTCCGAGGGCACGGGGAGGCAGAGCACGCTGAAGTGTCGGATGAAGCGGGGGGTCACAGGGTTCCGGCCGCCGCCCGGGGGCGCGCACGCGGATACAATCGTCACGTCCTGTACGGAGAGAAAGCCACTCGGGTCACCCAGCAGAGGAGGAGATGGCGTCTGCCTGTCCCAATGGCAGGACTCAGAACCAACGATCCTGGAGGACCTACCACTGACAGCATTGTGTTACGTTTCCCACACGTTATCTGACTTCATCGTCACAACCACCTCCGGAGATCACTGTTGTCCTTTCTACCGTGCACATGAAAAAAACCCGAGGCCCTGGGTGGTTAAATAAATTGCTAACTTATTCCCAATAAGGTCACACAGCTAACTCATCTACCTTGTATAAATACTCCCATGTAAAAATGTAATCTCAAAAATTTTAAGAATGTGTACCTTAGATGAAAAGACACTCATTCAGCAAATACTAAGTATAGTCAATTCTTGTCATTTGTGGCAGGTACAGTCTATGAAATTGCCAGGAACCCTGAATTAATGCACCTGGAACCACTGTTCTTCAGGGAAATACAGGGTTACGTTCCCTGCCAGCCTCTGGTCGGAACACTTTCAACTGATGGGTACGTGATATTGCAGTTGCCTCTGGTCTTGCCTCCTCTCTAGCCCACACCTCCCCAGCAGCCCAGGGGATCGCTCTGTAACGTTTCCATCAGAGGCTCCCGATCTCTGAGAGGATAAATCCACATTCCTCCTCATGGCACCACGGCCCCCTGGGCTGACATCTGCATCCCTGGCTGCTTCAGCGCTCACAGTCCACACGACTCTGAGATGCAAACAGCTCCCCTTCCTTGCTTTGCCCTGCCCTGCCCGCAAAATCCTGTTCTGACGTCACCTCTTCCAGGAAGGATTCTCTCATCATCAGCCCAGCACCCGCCCCCACCTCCTTCCAGTCTCTCTCCACTTCTCACCCTGCATTAAACACATGTTCATCCATCCCTCAAAGCTGGGCCCCCCAGGGGGCTGGGAGGTCTCCCTCGTCCATGCACCTCATGAATCAAGCAGGGCGAGAACCCACATGGACTGAATGAACTGAGCCACACGGAAGAGACACTGACGCCGCATGCCATGGGCTGAATTATGTATCCTTCTCCGCCTCCCCCTGGCCAATCACATGCTGAAGCCCTGACCCCCAGCGTCTCAGTGTGACTGTATCTGCAGACAGGGCATTTCAAGAGCTAATTAAGTCACAACGAGGCCATAGGTGAGGCCTAATCCAGGATGACTGGTGTCCTTTCAAGAAGAGGAGATTCGGACACAGCTGGACACAGAGGGAAGGTCGTAAGACACAGGGAGAACACAGCCACCTACAAACCAAGGACAGAGACCCCAGAGTAAACCAGTCTGTGACATCTTGACCCTGGACTTCCAGCTTCTACAACTGTAAGAAAATAAATGTCTGTTGTTTGAGTCACTCTGTTGCACTTTGTTATGGTAACTCTGGCAAACGAATACACTAAACTTTACAGCCGTTTAAATTTAAGCACGCAAAGCAATTTGAAGCCCAAAGTAACCTGTATGTCTTTCCAAAAGAGCTTGTTTCTGTCGTAAAATCCACCAAAATCTTGAAATTGCCGGAGCAGCTCAATGGGAGGCTGAGAGCCATAGCGATCCAGTCTGGGCATGTTTAAGTCGTCAACAAAAATCACGACTCGCTTGTTTCCCGGTGCTCCTAGGGAGGTAGACAGCGTGAATTTAAGAGTCACGATTCGCCCTTGGGAAACATCAGGCACAGCTCAGGTGAGGCTTCAGGCTCAGTGAACACGGTGAACACCGTGTGGGGAGCTCAGCTCCTCTCGCAGAGTGAGGAGGGCCCCAGCACGGTCGTGTCTTGAGGAGGAGAGACCCCTCTGGTCCCGTCCAGGCCCCTGCCAGGGAGCTGTGGGCCCGGCCGGGACGTCCACACTGTCAGGGGCTCCCTCACCCTCATCATCCCTCCGCGGTGTAGGATGATGCCATTTGGACCAGACTCAAGGCAACTATAAGTGACCTAAAGTTATGCTCTTTATCTGCGTGGTTAATAAGGAAGGACGAGGGCGATGCCACAAAACCTGGCTCAGAGCGCGGACTGGAGGAACAGCCACAAAACTTCCACGCTTGCTCCCGACTGAGCTCAGATGACTCAACGCACCAGATATAAAGAGGTTTGTTTGTTTATTTTAAATAAATGGAACTGTAGTCAATATCTTGTAGTAAACTATGATGAACAAGAATATGAAAACGAATGTACGTCTGTACGTGGATGACTGAAACATGATGCTGTACACCAGAAACTGATACAATATTGTAAATCGACTATCTTTCCATTAAAGAAAGAAAAAAAGAAAAATCAGTGCAGGTTTGGAAGCAGAGCCCAAGTGGAGAGGGAGAGCCAGAGAGAGGCAGGGACTGAAGATTTTTTGAGTTGAAGGTGATCGGAATAAACCACTCACTTGCTAACAGGAAGATACCTTGATACATAGCACAGGAAAGAACACATGAACAGAGTCACCTTTACAAATAAACTGAGCAAAGAAAATACCCAGTTGTAACTTTATTACATGCACTGTTTTTTGTGACTTTATTAGCATAATAAAAATTTGTGTGGGACAAATGACAATAATAATTCTTACCTAGAATATTTTTTCTTTTCCTCTCCAGTTTGGACTCAATGATCTCTTGTGTTCTTGCCGATGAAGTTTGAGCGGAAAAATTCAGATACACAGGAACATAGCCAGCTGATTCTTGAATTCTATTTAACAGTCCTTTTGCAATAACAGACTTTAAATTGTAAAAAAATATGTTAACTGATTTCACGTTCAGTACAGTATCTTTCCAATTGTCTCTATCAGTAATAACCCAGTACAATGAGGAAGAAACAGGACAAAAGGAGAGAGGTTGAAGTCAGACTGAAATGTCTGCCTTCCTCTTCCTGGAAATTCATTTTAATTAGATTTATCAGAGCTAAAGAAATACTCTAATCAGATCTATCTCAGCAAAAAAATTTTATTTCAGTTTCATACCAAGATCCGTCTTGGTTACTATCGAAGTCGATGTGGTAACAGGAGCCAGAAACTCAGAAATAATTTAGAGGGGAAACAGCAAGTCTCTGTTTATGTGGACCTTCACGCAAACCAACAAGACCAATCAGCATTTTCCCTCTACTTTTTCTACACATCATCGCTGTGTTAAGAAGTAAATGGGCAGGAGGTAACAGACTGACCTTCATCAGTAATCCACTGGGTGCACAAACCACCTAGACCGATTCCCACCCTAACCCCATGCTGACCCACAGAGGCAGCCCCAGAAATTCTAAGCGACACCACATAAATGCCCCCAGACACAAAAGCTTGGCCCACAGGGTCCTCTGGCTTATGTATTAATGACGCCATGGATTTATTCAAAGAGTGGCAAACCGTAGGGTGGGTATGGATTCAGCGTAGTCAGACTTTTCCTGGAAAAAAGCGATCAAAATTCAAAATTCCCCTGGAAAATAAGGTACTGATAAATCATACGAGTATTTACAAAGCTCTGTCCCTCATGCCCTCACTGTGGACAGACCTTCTCGTCTGATGTAGCATTCCTACCTTGCCAACTCCAGTTATTCCAGTGAGCAGCACCGAATGCCTGACTGCCAGGAGTTTTTCCATCAGGTACCCAAAGCGCACCGTGTCAGCCGTGGGGACAAGCATCTCAAAAAAGGGGACCTCTCGGCTGTACTTGAAGGTGGGTATGATTCGTTCCCAGGGGTCCAGCCGTTTGGTGTCAAAGTCCATGTGAATGCTCCACAGGTCGCCGGAACTGGGAAGCTAGGGTGCAAAATTAAACACCACTTTCGACAGGATTGACACACGGCAGCAGAAACACTCACAGGAACAAAGACAGCCGTAGAACAAGGGTGGGTCTGGGTTTGTTTCTTTGTAGAGAAATGGTTGTTGGAGTACCAGACTCCACTTCTTTAACAGAACCAAGCAATACAATACGTTGAACCTGACAGCTGACTATAACAAAAACCCCCATTGGACTTGTAAAGCGTTTTCAATTCAGTCCATCATTCAGGGGCTCACTCCACACCAAATACTGTGCTCGGTGCTGGAGGAAAATGCGGAAAGAGGACCCGCCTTGCCTTCAAAGACCTCGTAATCGACACAAGCACATTAATGATTTCTCATGGAGAAATAAGGGTTCCGATGGAGCTCAGTACATTCGCAAAGGAGGGATGGCTCATCCTCCTTGCAGGGGAGCTGTGCTGGTGGCTAGAGATTTAGAAGGGGTTCTAGGGGATGGCCATGCTACAACTCGGACTTGAAAGACAAGCAGGGCCAGACGGGCAAAGAAGGGATGAGACGGGGATGGGGAAGGAAGGGTCAAGGTGTAGGCTAAGCAGACAGGCCTGGAAGCCATGGAAAGTGCCATGCACGTTGGGAACTGTAAGAGGTAAGTCTAGAAACACAGGTGGGGCCAAGTTATGAAAAGCCTCACTTGTTAAAGAGCCTGCAGCAAGGGTTCAGTGAAGAATTCTGAGTCTGTCTCTTTGTCTTAAATTCCCAGTTGTCCTCAATCTGATCTTAACAGTGAGGTACCTGGTCGCCATTATCTTCAATATACTGATTCATTCGCTCAATCTTAGAACGTACAGAAAGTCGTCTCAGAATTGCTAAACCAGGGCACCGTGAAAAAATAAATTTACTAACTAGAATTCAATGTTTCTGTTTATAGTAGGAAGTTTTTATACACTTTTATACCTTACTTTCTTCACGTGGTCAGGAGAGAACTCCTAAAAACTTTCAAAAGAAATAAGTGTTATCCATGGCCTAAAAAAGTAAATAATTTTAGAAGCCCTTTTAAACGAAGAATTAAGATTTATAGTATAACTAAGGCTTTTAAAGTTTTAGTCTTCAAATTTAATTTTAATGATTCAGAGTTATTATGTTTAAATGTATTTGGTTCTTACCCTGGCATCAGGATTATCATCAAATTGTGTCCTAATAAACGTGTCAAAAGAATCCCAGTAGTTTTCAGTTAAATTTCCGCCTAGAGACCATACGTAACAGAATATAAAAGTCTGACACAGTATAGTGTTCAGTTTTGTTTGCTCCTGAAAGAACAAAGAGAAAGAATTTTAATATTTCGTATGTTAACATAAAAAGAGTTCTAAATTGCAAAGAATAAAGACTTTTGTTTTGTGTAGGCGCATGCATTTTTAAAAGGGCACACTGTATGTTTTTTTATATTTCATTCAATGGTTCCCACAGTGATGTTTTATCATAGTATAAGTACTCTAATAAGAAAATGAGTGGCGAGGAGCATGTGGAACAAAAGCTCAAGGTTATCTTTCAACTGTTATAACTATGTCCATCCCCACATGAAGGTGTTTAAGGAGACACACATTAGGAAAATGTTATAGACTGTGAGGGAATTTAAAAATTGAGTTTAAGATAAACTATGGGCTAGAATTCCTTCCAAATCTGAGATTCTACAAATCTACTCACAGTCATTAATCCCCTAAAAAATTAACTTGAGAATCAAACGGTCGTACGATGGAAAGTCTGTGGTTATTTCTTTGCAAAGCATCCATACAAGAATCCCATTTTCCCAGTTTTACAGCAGTAAGACCCTGCCTACCACTGTCAAATTGATTCCATCTCTCCCGAGCATCAGAGACTCCAGTAAGCAACAGAGTGTGGTAACTTTGCTGATGTCCACTTGCGGGATTGCTTGGCTGCACTTTTTATTGATAAAATTTAAACCATCATCAACGTAACGCTGGAAAAGATTCAATATATACCCTTGGGTTTCTTCGTTCAGCTGAAAGGTAAACAAACAAATGATATTTTAGCAAGAGCAGATAAAATATATAATGAAGTTTAAAAAGGGTTTGTTCACACTTGTAAGTTGCAATATAGCCTGTGACTTAGATTGAAGGGAATAAGCATCATAAGATATGAGGCAAGTTAAATTAAAAAAAAAAAAAACCCTCTGTGACTTGGAAGGGCCACAAGGGGGAGACTCTGGGTAGCTGATGATGCCCTACATCTTGATCTGGTAATGGGCCCACAGGTGTTTATTTTATAATCCTTTGTTAAACTGTCAGTATATATTTCATGCAGTCTTCTGTACTGCTGATGTGTCTCACAATTAAGAGCAATAAAAAAGAAGTATAAAATGAGACATTTAAAATATCTATGTAAGGTAAAGGACTAACTCCTAAAGATTTAACAAAGAATGTTGCCCCTCTCACTTCTGTTAACATTGTACTAAAAGTCTTAGTTAATGCAATAGGGCAATAAAAGGAAGTAAAAAGTACACAGATTGGGAAGAAAGAAGAAAACTGTCTTTGTTTACAGATGACATGATTATCTACATAGAAAATCCCAAAGAACTGACAGAAAACTCCTGGAACAAATAAGTTGTTACAGCAAAGTTGTACAAGACAAGGTTCATATACAAAAGCCAATTACTTTCTTATATGCCAAAAATGAGTAATTAGAGTTTGAAATAAAAAATACAGCATCATTTACATAAGTACCAAAAAATAAAATACGTAGGTGTATTTCTAACAAAATACGTACAAGATTTATATGAGAAAAACTACAAGATTCTGATGAAAGAAACCAAAGAAGATCTAAGTAAGTGGACAGATGGCTCACGCGCACGGACAGGAAGACCCAACATTGTGAGGATGTTAGTCATTCCTAACTTATCTATAGGTTTGATGCGATGGGTGAAAACACCAGTAAGTTACTTTGTGGGTATCAACAAGCTGAGTCTAATGTTTACACGGAGAGGGAAGAAGACCCAGAATAGCGAACGCAACATTAGGGAACCAGTTTGGAGGGCTGACACCGCCCCACGTCAAGACTCACTGTAAAGCCACAGTGATCTAGACAGGGCGGTACTGGCAAAAGAACTGACAAACAGATTAATGGAACAAGAGAGAGATCCCAGAAATAGACTCATACAAATATGGTCAACTGATCTTTGACAAAGGGACAAAGGCAATCCAATGGAGAGGGGACAGTGTTTCCAAAAATGGTGCTGGAGTTGGACGTCCACATGGTAAAAAAAAAAAAAAAGAATCTAGACATTGATCTTATGCTTTTCACAAAAATTAACTCAAAATGGATCATAAACCTTAATGTAAAAAAGCAAAACCATAAAACTTCTAGAAGACAACAGAGAATATTTTGGTGACAGGTTTGGAAATGAGGTTTTAGATCTAACAACAAAAGCACAATCTGTGAAAGGAAAATGGATAAATTAGCTTTCATTAAAATTAAACAGCTGTATGCTGTGAAAGACACGGTTAAGAGAATGGGAAGACAAGCCAGACTGGGAGAAAGTATTTGCAAAACACATATCTGATAAAGAATTTGTATCCAAAATACATAAGGAACTCTCAAAACTCAATAATAAGATGACCCAATAAAAAGTAGGCAAAGGATTTGAACAGAAACCTCATCAAAGAAGAGGTATAGATGGCGAATAAACAATATAAAAGCCATTCAACATCATGTATCACAAAACAGCACATTAAAACAACAACGAGATACCACTACATGCCTATTAGAACGGCTCAAGTCTCAAACACCACACCACCAAACGCTGGTGAGGATGCGAAGCAACAGGAACTCTCACTGACGGCTGGTGGGGGTGCAAAAGGCACAACCACCTTGGAAGACACACCGACAGCTGTCTTACAAAGCTAAACGTGATTCTGCCACATGATCCAGCAATCACGGTCCTAGGTATTTACCCAAATGAGTTGAAAACTTACACCTACACGAAAAGCCGTACATGGCTGTTTATAGGAGCTTTATTCATAATCGCTAAACCCTGGAAACTCTGAGATATCCTGCAGTAAGTGAATGGATAAACTTGATAAATGCACACCACGGACTATCATTCAGTGCCCCAAAGAAATGAGCTCTCAAGCCGCAGAAAGACATGAAGGAATCCTGAGTGCGTATTACTAAGTGAAAGATGTCGATCTGAAAACACACTGTATTGTTCCAACTATATGGCATTCCGGAAAAGGGAAAGCTATGGAGACAGTAAAGCAACTGGCGGTTGCCAGGGGTTGGGGGAGGGTATGGAAGGATGAACAGGTGGAGGACAGATTTTTAAGGCAGCGAAACTATTTTGTATACCATAATAGTGGATACATGATAGTGTTCGTTTATCAAAACTCATAGAGTGGTACAGCACAAAGAGTGAACCGTAATGTAAACTGTGGACTTCAGTTAATAAGAATGCATCAGTATTGGTTCATCAATTTTAGCAGATGTACCAACCACACCAATGCAAAATGCTGGTAATAGAGGAAACTATGTTTGGAGGAGAGAAAGCGTATGAGAACTCTCTGTACGTTCTGTTACATTTTTCTATAAACCTAAAACTGCTCTAAATAAAAATAAAGGTAAATCAAAATTTTAGAAAGTCTATTAAAAAGGTGAACTCAGGAACATTTAACATCTTATGGCAGCCCATGATGAAGTCTCAACTCTGAGAATTACTTGCTTGCATCAGGTTGCTCTGAGAGTAGACCACAATGTTCTTAAAATGTTGACGCCTAAGAATGAAGAAAACAATATAGTTTTCTGACTCATCTTTGGAGCAGGAGAGGCAGAAGAATGGTGCTCTCTTGGAGCGGGGGTTGAGATGAGATGGGGCGAAACTGAAAAAGAAGGCTTGTTAAGGTAAAGAGGAAGTCTACTTTGGAATGGAGAAGGTACAGAAGATAATATGGAAGTGAGCTGTTCTGAGTGATAACGTAAAAGCTCTCCTTCACTTTGAGTGGAATGGTACCTCTGATGCCGATGTTAGAATGTGTCTCGGGCAAAGGACCTAAGAGTGGGTGGGAAGTGAACTGGTTTCCTCTTCTTTCTGGCTCTCCGTGGTGTTTGGGGCTCCTACGATCTACAAACAGTGGCAGTGCCTGGATTTAAATGCTCTTTTTTCTTCTTGTGCTTCCCTCTCATTATCTCAAGCCTTCTGCAAAGTTTTTTTTTAGGGGAAACTCAAGGAAGTGTCCGTGTTTGTGTTTGAGAGAACCCAGGCTGGGGAGAAGCCAGGCAGGGTAGGCAGAAGCCAGAGCGAGGAGGCAGGCTGGCAGGTTGAGGGAACAAACAATGACAGGCTTGGGGAATAGATCACACTGCTGGAGGATCCCAAGAAATCTCAGGGACAGGGCTAGGCACAGGGCTGGGGTTCCCTCAGTCAAGCCCAGTGAGGCCTTAACCAACTGCCACGCGGGCACTCGAGGGCGGGGGGAGCCCAGGCAGACGGAGATAATGGGGAGCGCCCGGCTGCACTTGCTTTTTTAGAAACACTCCTCATCCAGGTTTTGACGTAAGGCATCCACTTCAGCTCATCGGGATCCACAAACACCATCCCACATCTACTGACAGTCGCAGGAGAGGCAACCTTTAGATCTTGCACCTAAAATTGAAGGGAGTTGAACAGGAAACGGTTGATATGATACTCCTTTATCCCCCCAGCTTTAACGTTAATGGTTTACACGTTTGAAGTTTACGTTTACACTGTAAGGATGTGTGTAGAAGAGACTGGAAGGGTTATAAGTAATTAGAAATGGAGAAGGGAAGTTAAGTGAGGCATAGGAGGGAAAAAATACATGTAAGCATAGAAGGATGCTGCCAAATCCTTACGGGAGGTACAGCTATTTCCTTTCCCTTCCTTTTGTTTTCTTTTTACCTTTTTTATTCTTACACCCTGGCCCAGCCCAACACCTAGGACACAGCAGGTGTTCAATTAACGTTTGATGAATGACTGACTGCAGCAGGGTGTGCTATCTTCCAGAACACTGTGTAGCTATGTTTGGCTCACATTCCTTTTCCAAGCCCACCACCAAATACTCACACCACAGAAGGACGATGTATTCATCTTAAAAATAACAATTATTTTTAACTTGGAGAGCATTTCAAACAGTGTAAAGACATCAATATATATAACCACCTCCAAAGGAAAAGAAACAAGTGCTGGGGAAGCCAGAATTGACTGCATTTCTTGTTTATAGAGAGATGGGAATATTTCAGGGCTTCTGGTTAACAGAATGGACAATCTATAATCTATTATTATAAAGGGCAATTTGAATAGTATTTAGTATGCAAACAAAACATCGTGGTAGGCCTTACAGATAATAAATGATACATCAGCAAGACAAACAATTAACGATGGCATGCCAACGTAATGAACAGTTTCATACTGCAGTAAGGAATATATATTTACCTCGAAAAGCATGTGGATTTGAGGCGTGAGTTTAATCCTCTCACTGTTAGCCAGGCACAGCATCTTGTTATCATCCAAGACTGTGTTCATATTTTCAATCCAAAGAGCATCCACTGGCCCATCACTGATGATCCATTTGTGGTCCTCGGAAGTGTCATTCACAGCTGCTCGGACGCTGAGCGCCATCAAACCATCTTTCCACTCTAAGGTTATGTTATTAACTTCACCATACAATTCACCCATTGTAATCGATTTAGGATTAAGAACATATGTTTTTACTGGTTGGTAAAAGGGATTATCTATACCAAGTTTCCGCAAGTTTCCTAAAGTTTCTGCTAGTATTCGGTAAACTGTGGTCTTGCCACCTCCAGTTGGCCCGACTAACATGACACCATGCCTTACTAGCATAGTTTCATAGAACTGTATCACTTTTTCAACCATACATGTCTCAGGTTGAAGGTTTTGTCCATTCATGACATTTATAATTGTTGACTGTAATATTCCATAATCATGTGCTGGAATTTGGACTCCAGGAAAAAGGTCAGATATAATTCCACTGGAAAAAAGAATCAGTTAGAAACCACCGGTCATTGATATTTCCCCATGTTTGTTACAGTTAATTGATTAAACAGTATCATTGGTTCCATTTTTCTCATTAATCTTTTTGTCTGCAGTCCGAGATAATCCTATGTGTTATACCAGAATCTATCATTTCTCTGAAATTGTGTATGATTTCATTTGTTTCCTGTACAGTAGACCAATGTTCTTAAGTATACTGGGAGATTTTTGAGATTTTTTTTATTTATGATTTTGTTATATACAGTACATGGCATAGTACCAAACATACAGAAGGGGATGAATTTATTAGTTTATCTTAAAAATTTTATTTATTTCTCAAGAAGAAAAGAGGGAGGACCCAACTAAGCAAAATGAGAAATAAAAGAGGAGACCTGCTTAAACTTAAAAGCTGCACAGCAAAGGAAACCACTGACAAAACAAAAGACAGCCTACTGAATGGGAGAAAATATTTGTCAGTGATATGACTGATAAGGGGTTAATACCTAAAATATATAAACAACTCATACAACTCCATATTAAAAAGACGCAAGTAAAAAATAAACAGAAGACCTGAATAGACATTTTCCTAAAGAAGACATACAGATGGCCAACAGGCACATGAGAAGCTGATCAACACTGCCAGTCCTCAGAGAAACGCATACCCACACTCCAATGAGGTATCACCTCACACCTGTCAGAATGGCTATCATCAAAAAGACCACAAATAACAAATGTTGGGGAGGATGTGGAGAAAAGGGAGCACTCGTACACTCATGGTGGGAATGTAAACTCATGTAGCCACCATGGAAAACAGTATGGAGGGTCCTTGAAAAACTAAAAATAGAATGACCATAGGATCCAGCAATCCCACTCCTGGCTATATATCCAAAGAAAATGAAAATACTAATTTGAAAAGATACATGCTCAATGTTCATAGCAGCATTATTTACAATAGCTGAGATATGGAAGCAACTGAAGTATCCATCAACAGATGAACGCATAAAGAATATTTGGTGTATACGTATGTGTATACATATATATATATACATTGAAATATTACTCAGCCATTAAAAAGAATGAAAATTTGCCATTTGCAACAATATGGACGGACCTGGAAGGCATTATGCTGAGTGAAATAAGTCAGGTAGAGAAAGACAAACGCAGTAGGATATCACTTATATGTGGATTTGAAAAAATAAAGCAAACTAGTGAATGTAACAAAAAAGAAAGAAAGAAAAAAACCAGATCCATCAGTAGAGAGAACAAACTAGTGGTTACTAGTAGGGAGAGAGAAGTGGGGAGGGGCAAGATAAGGGCACGGGATTAAGAGGTACACACTATTATGTATAAAATAAATAAGTTACAAGGATATATTGTTCAGCACAGGGAATGTAGCCAATACTTTATAATAATTTTAATGGAGTATAATCTATCAAAACATTCAATCACTATGCTATAGACCTGAAACAAATATAATATTGTAAATCAACTATACTTCAATAAAAAAGAGCAAGAAAAAAAGGTACTGATGATAATATAAGAGATGCATTTTACAACACTGGTAAGAAAGTCTACCTAAGAAGGACAAAAATTTGATAACTTTAAAAAAAGATGATACAGTGAAAAATAAAAACAAACCAGGAAATACCAAACTTCTGCGAGGCAAAAAGGCTTTATACCTAAAGAGTGAGTGATATACTTAGAGAAGTATTTCCAAGTTTTATACCAGATGAAGTTTATGAGTTCCCACAAATCACTACGTAAAAGAGCATAACAGAATGATGCCCTAAGAAAAATGAATTCAAATGACTAACGAGTGTCAGAAATGATGCTCCTTGATACTAATAATTAAAGTAATTTATATTAAAGTTGGCTACTATGTTTGGTCTCCCTCTCAAACACATAAAGGGAAAGGGGCATGTTCACAAAACTATTTATATAAATGCAAAATGTCTTTGGAGGCCATACCGACAGGATCTACCTAAATTAAACATGTCCATTCCTGTCTATGACCTAGGGAACATAATTCCCAGAATCTCACTTCCAGAAATGTCCTGAATGTGCAAACATAAATGTTGAGGAATTTTCATCGTTGTGTTTTTTTTTTAAGTTTATTTAATGAATTTATTTATTTTGGTGGGGGGAGGTAATTAGGTTTATTTAGTATTTATTTATTCTTAGAGGAGGTACTGGGGATTGAACCCACGACCTCATGCAGGCTAAGCATGCGCTCTACCACTTGAGCTATACCCTCCCCCTCATCACTGTGTTCTGCCAAAAGTGAGTAGACACGTGTTCTGGGAAACAGGGGATCTGACAGTGGACAAAAGGCACATGGACGTAAAGGACATCCCAGAATGACAGATGCGCCCCAAGGGTAGCAGGCAACCAGTCTAGGTTAGAGAGGAGAGCAGAGGGCTCCAAGGAGACAAATTCGACAGAATATTGTGTATAACTGAAGTTTTTTTTTTTTTTGAGATTTACACTCGCGGAATTCGGAAATGAATTAGTGATCAATCACAGAAAAGTAGGTGAAGGAATAAAAAACAAAAACTAAGACAGTTAATAAATGCAGGGAAGATAAAAGGCTAGATGATTTAATAACAAGGGAAATGTAGCTCAGCTCTGGGTAACATTTCTATCTCTGTAATAAATTCTGGAAAACCCGGATACTTAGCCCCAGTTATGCTACCGTGTGACTCCACAGAGGGGATGGGGGAGGGGAGGGGGGCATGTGCACATCCTCTTCTCTCTGTTAGTGACTTACTAGGTAATACCTAAAACTGAAAAATCATGAAATGGCATAAACATGGTCCTATACAACAGGGAGGGAAATAGCAAAATGAAAGAATGAATGCATGAACTGACAAGTGATTGCCTTTGGGAGGCGGGAGCTAGTGAAGGGCAGGGGAGCGCTGTTTTTCCTGAGAGTAATTTTATAACAGCACTGTATTTTTAAAACTACATACATACGTGGCTTGGATAAACATAAAACTAAATAATAAAAGTAGAAATCGATAAAAGCAATCACACTTATGTTGAGGCTCAAATTTGCTTCTTTTGGGTCAGGAATTTCTCTTAGCTCAGAAACTTGCAGCCACATGCTAATAGCATAGCATGCAGCTTGGTGATCGATACTTTGAAAAAAAAATAAACAACTGGATTGAGGCTAAAATCGGTAGCATCTTCATCTGAAGCTTGCATTTTTAAAATTGCAGTAAGTATCCCTGGAAATGATGAGAAAGTTATGACCTTACAAGTGACAGACATATTTGAAGACCAACCACCCTTTACCTATACACAGCAGCCAGGCTTTATCTGTAACATCGAGACGTTTACCTGAAGAGAACAGCATCGTCTGCTAGGAATTTTGGCAAATTAGAGTCTCGTAAAGCTCTTATCAACACCACATCTTCACTGAGGTCTGGGTTCTCTCTTTTTAAAGATCTAAATATAAAGGGATAATTCAGATGACATCGTGAGAACATCGTATTGAATGAGATTTTCCAAATCTGTGGGTGAGGGATTCGGCCTGCAGAGAGGGTGGAGGGCACCGCAGTGCAGACTCCTGCCGGAAGGAGAGGACCACTTTCCCTCGCGTGTCCCGCATCCGTCTCCAGGAGAGGACGTGACCAAGTCAGGTACAGGCTATGTGGCCTCAAGGAGAATGACAAGGACAGTTTCTCAAGCTCCCCCCATCAAACTAGACTTTATCTAACCTGTCTTTACATGCCCCTGAGTACATCATGGTGATGCATAGCCCTGCGACTTCCTTCACTCTTAGCCCACAATGCTCTGCTCTGCTCTTGCTGGCTCTTATTTTTCCTTCGGTCACTCCATCCTCTAAAGAGATGTGCAGAGCCTGAGCCAGTGAGTCGTGGCCCGAGGGGAAGAACTAGAGAGAAGACAGATTCCCTCAGAGACTCCGGACAAGCTGGGGGTTCCACATGTTATAAAGTGTCCACAGGTTATAAAGAGAGCAGTTGGGGCCTGAAGAGAGGAAAGACTTTTGCTTCACTGGGAACTAGAAAGCAGCTTAGCCTTGGACCACACTGTGAAGACAGAGGTGGAGTCTAGGAAAGAAGCCCGGACTGAGGATGGAGCAATGGAACTGAGGCTTCTCCCAGTGCGTCCGGCTTTGTCAGGCGACCCGCAGGGCTGACTCTGGTGGTAGTGAAATTTCCCTGGGGGCTCCCGTTCTTATCAAGTCAAATAGCCCGACCAGAAGAATGTTAAACTTGTGCTAATCATTAAGTAGAAAAAAATCTGAAATAAAACAAATCTTTCTAATAGCTACTTCCCCAGTTTCTCACGCCAGCCCTTAGAATAGAGCACTCTGTAGCAGCTTTTGTGGACGCTGAAATCACGGTAAAGGGCACACTTCTCTTCCCATTTTGTCCCAGTGAGGGGGGGAAGCCTCGTCCAACAGGCACCGTCCCGAACAGCCCGCCCACCCCCAGTGCGAGGGCTCCTGCCTTTCTGGAGCCCAGTGTCCCCTCACTAGCAACAAAGTATAAGTAGAGGGACCACTCGCGACACCACACAGATGCCAGCCGACAATGCTAACTCACTCCAGGCATGAGTCAGCTCTGAACAGTGGGCTGAAAGCCGTTTGTCTGCATTTGAGGATAAACAGCACAAGCCACTCAACTAAGCAGATGGCAAAGAAGAGGCTGCTGAGGCCAAACCCAGTGAAGCTCCAGTTTTGAAAACACTGAATTTAATTTAAAAACAAACAAACAAACACATGACAGACTGCATGCCTTTTACGTCCAGCCACCCTGTCTTATGGGGGTGAAGGCTTTCGTACTAAAACCTACCGCACGGGACGAGTTCAGGGGAAACAAACGTTTGCCAAAGCCTAGCCGAGACTCAGGTTCGGGCTGGGCGCAGCCATGTGGGTTCTCACAGTGAAGAACCATGGTGGGATGAAGATCGGAGCCCCATGTCACAGTGGCGGGGGCCGGGGGGGTGGTTCCAAGACAAGAATGACAGCATCTGGCACTTGTTAATCTCCTACTGTGTTGCTTTAAGAGCCATCTGTGAGTGAGTTGGTTTTTTTAAAATTACAAATCCTTAAAAAAAATTTTTTTAACTAATTTAGGTAGGGGTAGAGGGTGGGGGAGGTAATTAGGTTTATTTATTTACTTATCTTTTTAGAGGAGGTACTGGGGATTGAACCCGGGACCTTGTGCACAGCAGGCATATACTCTACCACTTGAGCTACACCCTGCCCCCTGTGAATTACTTGTTAAATGCATCTGATGACATGGTTTGGAGCTGGACTGCTGCCCACTCTGGCTCCTTACCCAGCCATGACCAGCACGGACTTCACGGCTCTCATGCCGAAGTCGTAGTGATCCTGCTGAGAAAGCTGCTCGCTGCAAAGCTTATACATCTGAGTCATCTTCCTCGCTAAAATCTTACTGGATTCGAATCCTTCGGAGTACAGGATTACCTAGAGTGGAGAGATGCAGTGCGATGCTCGTCATCTTACATTGCTCACAACACGTGAACACAGCACCAGAGCATTCAGAGTCTCCTTCAGGTGTCACATCTCTCCAAGTCGTCACACCCTGTAACAAAGGAACGTCAGGACTGAAGGGCAAAGGGTTTTCTGTGCCACAAGGAGGAAGGTGGGAATCATACAGGGACGCCCGAGCACTGATTCAGCTTCCCTTCCATGGATGGAGATGTGACCTCGGTGACATCTGGTCCAGGAGCAGCAGAGCCCACTGTGAAAATGTTCACATCGTGGAGGCTGGATGGCGTCGTAAGGCCTGAGCACAAACGCAAGACGTGAGCTTCCCTGATCTGACAGCGTCAGTTACAGTGATGTGCTCTCTGCAGGCTCCCCGGGGCTCGAGGGAAGGTTTGCGGCCTCTCCCGGGCCCTCAGAGGACGTCTTGCCTCTGACAAGTGTCTGCACCTTTGGTTAAATAAATCAGTGATGATGGTGGAGGTGAGTGTGGCCCCTTCCTCCAGTCCATAATCTACTCAGCTCACTACAGTGGGCCTCAGACGGGAGCTCTGAGAGGATGCAGAGACTCCCGAGTGGGGTCTGCTCTGCTCACTGCTCTGCCGCTACCTATTAGCGCAGGGCTCTGTGAACTGCGGGTGATTAAAAACCTTTACTGATAACGGCTCTGACTCAGTCTGTGACGAAGACAAGAATAGCACTCAGAAGACCGGATATTTAAAATTTCTCCCATTCATGACTAATGTAACAGCAGGACAAAACACGAGATGCGAGCACAAGGTTGGACTGAGTACTAAACCTGGCTCTCCTCCTACCAGCTCTGGACAACGAGCAGGTCATTCATCATCCCTGCCCACAGAGGGTCTAGAGGGACCACACCACCTGCCTTAACTGCCACACCCCACCTTACCCCCAGGGGGCGCTGGGGGACTCATGAGATGCTGTAGGCATTTTACTCATGAAAACGGTAATTTTTCCAATGATAGGATTTGGCCTGGTCTAGTCTATTCTTAGGTAATTACTTTTACTTCACACCGAGGAATATTTTAAATTAGCTGTTGTCAGGAGTTTACTAGCCATAGGAGTCATATGTGCTTTCTGAGAAGCTATGTTCTGAACGGGGTGGTGTCCCCTGTTGTGAAACACAGCACTGACTGAGCACAAGGGGCCTTCTGGAGTCCTGAAAATGTCCTACAGTTTGGTCTTGGTAATCACACAGGTGAGGACGTGTGTAAGAATTCGCTGAGCTGTATCCTTATAATCTGTGCACTTCACTATATGTAAATTATACCTCAATAAAAAGTGCCAAGAAAAATACACATAAAATTTAACTACCTTGGTTCTTAGCTAGTATGAAGGAAAAAAAGTTTAAATAGAAAAATCCCTCAATAGATACAGAAGGAACAAATCCAATCATAAGTGATTTGTCCATGACTGCTAGTTTTTGACTAAGCTGATACAGACTGGAAACCAACCCCTGCCCTCCGTCACAATGATTTGTGTTCCTTCTGCTCAACATCCCTTGACTCTAATAAAAAAATAATGCAGAAAGAAAAGCGAGAATACCACCATATTTTTAGAATGAATCTAGACATTTTAATTCCTATAGAGGAACTGGTAAACCCCAGTGAACTAGTTAATTAAACTCATTTATTCATTCCAGTTTTGGGGGCTTACTACATTCCAGATACAATCCTCGGCATGATTAGGATACAGCTGTTACACGCACACACACACAGAGAACAAACCATTCTATGTGGTAGCGATCATACCCACACACGGAAGAGGGGCCAATACCACACAGCCTCGGCCAGGGTGCGGTCATAAAGGGAACTTTCTACCACAACAGAATCAAACGGTAAAGAAAAGAAACGAGCTCAAATCCTGGGCGCTCTGTGATGTGCTGCTCACCTCTGCAATCAGGGCGTAATTTGGAACCATCATCGCAAACGGTCGAAACAGGGCTTTCAGATTATCCGGCAGCTCGGTTCTGCCTGCGTACCCGGGATTCATGGTGATGAAGGCTGCGCAGGTCGTCACCAACTTGATTTCCCGCCCTTCAAACATGAATCTAGACAGCTGTCGGAAAGGGGGAGAAAATGTAAGTTAGCCCTTCTCCAGACATCTGTAAATTCTTTCCCGTAACTCCTACGTGGGCACAGAACTTGTGCAGTGGGCGTGCAGGCAAGGACTACTGGATCCTGCTGCTAGGACTGCTGCTCTCCTGAGTTCTGCCTTATTCACTCCCAGTCTCTTCTGGGCTCAGGATTTCCTGCCCTCTGCCTCTGCCAACTGTCTCCTCCTTCCCCGGCCCAGTCCTGCAATCTTCTCGGCCTCAACAGCCTGCCTGAGACCTGGAGAATGAAGAGGGCATTTCATGTAGGTGAGCAGGGTGGCCATTCCCGTCAAAGGGAGCAGGAACGAGGTGCAGCCCCGCACGTTTGGGGAATGACCAGCTGTTCACTTTGCTAAAGGGTAAATTTCCAGGAGGAAGGTGTAAGGAGGCTGGGGCCTGAGCATCACAAATCTTGCATGCTAGGCTAAGGCCTTGAGAGTTTTGTCCTGTGGGTCAGGGGAAGCGGAGAATTTTGAGCAAAGTGATAGGACCAAAGGTGGCCTTGGAGAGGTTAGACAAACTCCACTCAGGGTGACCAGGAAGGAACTGTTACTGGGGAGATGACGAGAGCCAGAACCGGGAGTTCGCACTGGAGATGAGAGGTCCAGGAGATGCAGCTGAATGGCCTTGGTGGGGGCTTAGGTTTGGGGTTGACAGTGATGGGAAAGATTCAAGATGAAGCCCAGGGTCCCAGCAGGGCCATTGAATGGAGGCACTGTAATTAGGCGCAGAGAACACCGGGGAGGCCAGGATGGAGCTGGGCAGATGTGTCAGAGCCCGGAGGAGAAAGCGCCAGATGGTACAACTGGAGACCCCAGTCCTGCTGCTTCTAAATGGCAGTTCGTGTTCCTCAAACCTGCACGTTTCCATGCTTTAGTTTCCTCATCTGTTCTAGGGGGAACCTGCTGCTCCAGCTGTCTCACCTGTCCACTGGAAGAATCAAGGGTGAGATGTGGTTAGTCTCAGAGTCCTCCCACCTTCCTGTCACTGCACATGGTCGCTGCCCCATTGGCAAAGCTTCAGTGCCGCCCACGTCCTCCGTGGTCCCTTCTCCCGCGCTCCCCACGCTTCACCAAGGATGCTGAACGCGCAGCATGGAGATGATGGCTTACATCACGTCACATCTGGAGGTCCCTGCATTTAGTGCAGGCCTCCCAGAGGGGGCGGAGGCAGGAAGGCGTGCAGTTGAAGGACTGCAGACTTCAGGGTCACACAGATGTACATCTTGTGTCTGTGCCGTTCCCAGAAATGTTTTAATTTCTTTTCACCTGTAACCTTGGGAAACACCACCTACTTCACACAGGTTTGGTGTGATGATGAAGTAAGTGTAAAGTACAAGGACTTGCATAATTTAGAACTTGTTCAAGTCCAGTTTCTGCTTTGTTTTTACTTGTTTTATAATTTGTTTTCTTGCAGGGGTGATAATCAAAATATTTAATAACTCTTGAGCAGGGCATCTTCCAGTGAGAATGACCCCTGTTCCTAGGGCTGGACCTGCGTCCGGAGGCCCCCTTGCTAGGTCAGAATGAAATCCTGCGGCTGGACCCTGAGGAGGTCTGAGGCCCCAAGGGTCAGGGTAGTGGTGGGGACCCTACGGGGACTCCGGGCAGTGGCCATTTAAATGTTAAACCACGGGCAAGGCTGTTCGGCTTGCACTGGCTGAACGTCAGTCTGCCCTTCGGTGACCTCCACAGAGTGGTAGGGGACTCGGTCCCACCCTTCCCTGCCACCCCTGCCCAATACAAAACCCCTTCTCCAGGAACATGCTCACGGGGGCTAAAACAAGTTGTAAACAGTGGGGCCACTTTACTATCTTCATCTGACCCTTTACACCTTGGCTTTTCCAGTCCAGTGAGTTCTGGAGAGTCAAGGTCCCCCTGGGTTCCCCAGGACTCCTCTCTCATTTTTCTACCAGCACTGGGCTGAGCCTGGGGGCCAGGATGAAGGCAAATCTGGCAGAGATGTAAACATCAAAGGCAAGAACAAGAGAGGTGAGGAGGGAGAGAGGAGCTGGAGGAGAGAAGGACAGGGAGTGTGTGCATCTGTGTGTGTCTGCATGTGCGCATGTGTGTGCTTGTGTGTTTGTGTGTGTGCATGTGTGTGTGTGTTTGTGTGTGTGCATGTGTGTGTCTGTGTGTGTGCCTTGTGTGTGCATGTGTGTGTGTGCGTGTGTGTGTGCTGGGGGTCGGAAGAAGAACAGGTTCTGCGAGGGCGACGGAGTCTCACCAACTCCGTGTCTCCAGGTCCCAGCACAGTGTCTGACATACAGTTGCTTCTCTGCATTGCCTGGATGAGGAATTAAGTCACCCACATCAGCCCTGCCGCTGCACTGCTCGCCAATGACACTGGATACGCAGGAGAGACAGGCTAAACTCTGCACCATCCTTCCTAAAACGCCACGTGCTGTAAGTCAGTTTCGAGCGTGAGGAACGCCATGTCCACGGATGCTGGCCCGGCCTCACCTTGGCCGCCTTGGCGCTCCTGATGGTGATGAGCTGCTGCGCGATGACCGACAACACTTCGATGTCAATTCGATTAAATTCGTCAAAGCAGCACCAGGCCCCCGACTGTGCCAGGCCGCTGAAGAAGCGCCCCATCATCTGAAAGAAATGATGCCATTCGATTGTGTACTGGACAGCTGAACTCCTTCAAAACTTACATTTTGAGCTGAAATATTAAAAAAGTGGTGATATCTACACATAAGCAACACTGTTAGGGAACTCCTGGGCTGTGTCAGAAGTTAACACCTTTCAGTAAGAGGAAGTATCTTTTGGCCTCTCCCTAAAATGATCTGAAGCTAACTTTTAGTTTTAAATAAAATGACAATCTGACCAATTTGCCTATCTTTTCATAACCTCTGTAAATACAAGTTCCCAAAGAAGCTAACACATAGAATGGACACACTTAATGACTTAAGAAAACCTTGAAAAACTTTACTAATGGAAGATTTCGTTGTTGGTAACCTCTGTGTGGATGTTGATGGTCTTTCGTTTCTGCCCCTGGAAGAGGGTTCTGTTACCACCTTCCCGAACGGTCCGGCCAAGGTGGAGGTGGCAGAGCGTCTCCTTCCCACTGAGAAGTCTGCGTCCTCCCCCATGCCTGACGGGGATGTTGACAAGGACAACCTTCGTCTTTTTCTGAAGATCCTCTACACCCTTCAGGGTTCACTTAACTTTCCAGATCAGAAATTAACATGCTGAAACAGCATTTTTCCAAACTGTCATCTGAGGACTCCTGCAAATCTCAGAGTTTCTTTTAGGGGGTCCGTGAAGTCGAAGTCGTTTCATAATAATACTAAAATGTTATTTGTCTTTTCACTCTCACTCTCTCATGAAACCACAGAGTATGAAAAAGTTATTCATATGGTTTTAGTTTTCATGTTGCAAATAATCTTTAAGAAGCTGCCACTTGTCAAGTTTTGGTGTTGTTTCAAAGAATATCAACAATTATCTAAAGAAGTTATTCAAATATTCTTATCTTTGTAGAACACATATCTGTGTAAGGCTAGATTTTCTTCAAATAAAATAATGTATCTTAACAGAAATAATATATCTTAACAGATTTAATGCAGAAGCAGATATGGGCATCTGGCTAGCCTCTGTTACGCCAAACAGCAGAGATTTTCTTTTCTTTTCTTTTCTTTTGGTTTCTAGATACCAGATTTTATTCCACAGTTCTTTTTTTTTTTTAATTGAAGTACAGTCAATTACAACGTGTCAATTTCCGGTGTACTAGAGATTTTCAAAAATATAAAACAATGTCACTCTTCTCAGTAAGTTTTTTGTTTGGGAAAATAGCTATTTTTCTCAAAAAGTGTGTTTATGCAAACATGCAATGAATTTATCACTGTTATTTTAAAACTAATAAATATTTTAAACGGATCAGTTTTAATTTCTAACATGGTAAATATCTACAGACGGAACCCATTTGTAGAAACAAAAGGTCTTTGGAGATCTCGGTAATTTTTAAGCGTGTAAAGGGGTCCTGTGAACAAAAAGCTTGTGAACTACTCTACTGCAAAATCCTACCGCGAATTGTCACCTCCTACATACTTCATCTTCAGTACACAACCCTGAGCTGCTCATTCCTTGTTCCTAGATTTCCCTGTTATTCTGTCTCATATGTCATCTGCTATATGTCTACTTACTGTCATGAATAGATTAAATTTTACCACCAATTGACAAGTCCTCCCCTGGCCTTGACCCTACCTGGCCCACCCAAACGGCCTTGTGCTGACGCCTCTTTGTTCTGTTTATTCCACTTTAACCATCCCTTGCCCCACTAGTTCCCCCCCATCACCCCATCCTGGTCTTCTTCTGATATGTCATGTTGCAAGTGGAGAAAGCCATGTAAAACTTATTGTGCGTGTTCCGCTGCCAGCACTGCACCTTGTAGTCCAAACCATCGGAACAGTTGAAGACCACGCACTGGATGGCGAGAGCTTTCGCGAGGTCTTTGGTGGTCTCGGTTTTCCCAGTGCCAGCGGGGCCAGCTGGTGCGCCTCCCAGGTCGAGCTGCAGAGCCCCCATGAGGCACAGGTAGCAGCGATCCTGGAGAAATTGAGAAACTGTCATTATTGGATGGAAGTGACTCCGGCCACAAATTCTTAAGTCCTTTCCTTTCTATAGCAGGAGGGTCAGGATTTTTTATGAAATTCTATGACAACTGAAAACTACTCAAAAATCTAGGCACATAATTAAATACTGCAAATCTCTGCTTTACAAAGATGTATTCATGGTAAATCCTTCCAATGTCAGATGGAAACTTTCCAGGACTATTTTGATTTAAAAAAACGCAGTGTCAACACTGCATGTCCTGTATCCAAGCGAACCTAAATGATCAGGAACATACCGTGAGAGGGGTGATGACCAGTCTCGGGCAGGCACCCAAATACTCATAGCCGTACGTGTACTGAGACAGCGCCATTCTTGCCACACAATTGTCCAGGTCTACATCCCAGTAATAGCGCAGCTGTCTCTGCCAGTCAAAGGATTCGACTTCCTCCACCTGCATACATGGTATCAACGATACATGTGTTGGACGCATTGATTTCAGAAAGAAATAAGTGATTTTATTTAAATGGAACAGTTACCTTGGCTTGAACAAGCTCAGTGACTATGTCTCTTGCGTGTACATCAATAGTAATTAAGGCAGTTATGATGTTTCTGTGTAATTTAGGAAGACTGCCTCGGACTATCGCAGCCAGGGCATTCAATCTCTACAAATTAAAAAAGAATTGTGATAATTAATTTTCCAAAATCAGCTTACATGGGTATCTTTTTACTCTTAAATTTGGAAGAGACATTTGCCAGAATTTGCCAAAGTTAATAAGAATCTATAATTCTGTGACCAAACCAGACAACAGATTAACTTATTTAATTCCCGCAAGACTTCCACGAAGTATATACTATCTTTCCTCCCATTTTGCGTTAGAGGAAACTGAGGGTCAGAGAGGGTAAGTGAGTTGACGGCAGTCAGAGTCGTGAAGTGGGGAAAGCGAGACGGGAGCAGACGTCTGCCTCCGGGAAAGCCCACGCTCTTGACCGTCACGGGGTGACGTCTTTAGAGAAGACGGTTCTCCCCGAGAAGGAAGTGTGATTCAGGTCGTGCTCCTCATTTTGGGGGATAGGTGTTTTTCATTTGTTTTCATTTTTGGATAATAAGGACCCCCGAGCATTTTGACCACGCAGATGATTGACTAAATGAAAGCATTTTTACTAGACTGAGTTCCCGATTTTCAAGGAAACGGTTAAATTTTTTCCCAAGATGAGTGTTGCCTCTGAGAGCCCTGAACTGCTCTGTTGGATCTTCATTCACGCTGACCTGAGCGGGGGCCGCCTCTGCACAGGGCTCAGTGGGACCTCCCTTAGAGAGTCTCTTCTCTGGGGCTCCTTGAGATGAAATGCTATTGAGGACCTTCATGAGAGAGTTTTCTCTTATTTCAAGAAAGCTGTTTCTTCCTTTTCCGTTTTAAGGGTGATTCTTTAAAAGTGCAACATTGCTTGGGAGTAGAATTGAATTTGGAGCTAAAGGTTTGGCCCAGCTGTGAAGTGGCATTTCCCAGCGATAGCCCCCAGATTCTTGCAAAGCGGTATTTAATTCATTCACTTATTTATTGTTGTATTGACAGTTGTCTGAGGGGTCTCCAAAGAAGCACATGCTGAGCCTAAGAGTAGAAATGGCACAAATCCTGCGGTTCTCCCGGACCAAATAAACTTCCGCGGGAGACATGACCCACGATACCATTTCCCCTTGAATGCTGCAGACCATTACACTTCCTTCTAGCTTTTAATATAAAGTATTTATATCAGTACTACACAAACATCAGGGCAGCGTCCCTAAGAAAACTCGAACATAAATGGCTTCGGTGAGACCCCCCAAAGCTTTGTCGGTCATGACTGAGCGTTGCAATCTCTGGAGCAGTGGACTTTAATTAACCTTGCCAATAAAAGCCACTGAGACCGTCTTGCCCAGCCATATGTTCAATGTCCCCCAGCCATAATCTCACCTCAAAGTTCACTTTTTCAAAAGCTTCCAGGGCCTCTAAGTGGTGACCGGCTTCTCCTTCCAAACACTCCGTCAGATCTCGGCACCACATGATCTGAGAGACGGTCAGGATCACCTGCAGGGAAACACCTCCTTTAAATGCAGGCTGCACCTCACTACAACAGGGTGCAGAGGCGGGAGCTGCAGGAGCGGGGGTTACCTGAGAAGGGTGGCCGGCAACCACCCATTCTGTCCTCGGTCTCCCCAGGTAGTCGGCGATGGAGGCCTTGCAGAGGCGGCGCAGAGACGCGAACATGGCTTCCTCCACTTTGCCCAGCCATTCCTCCACGTTGCCTCGGGCCTTGAGGCCTTTCCCCAGGCTCACCTGGAAGACAGTCAGCGCTGACACCCTGGCTTGCGTGGGACCCGCAGGCGGTACATCCTCTGTGCTTCCTTAACAGAACCCTGAGCCAGCGACACGGCGGCCTGACCACGAGTACTGGAACTTTCTATCGATGCCCCGCTCGACACCTCTCCTTACCCGTCTCTGCTTAGTGCTTCGCCTGCCTGCTCCCCCCTGGAGCCGATTCCTGGAAAGAGGAGTTCCTGCGCTCCACACGAGTTCTTTCACTTTCATCCCCTACTTGCTGCTGTCTGAGTTCTGGCCCAAACCACCCCTCTAAGCCTGTTCAGGTTATGAAGGTTACCAGAGCTCTCCCAGTTGCTGACACTTCTCAGCCTTGTTCATTTATTTCTCGGACTTCTAATGACCTGCCTGCTCTGCCTGTCTGGCCTCCTGCCTCGGTCCGTCTTCTGCCCGCCCTTTAAATGCCATGCTTCCCCCGGACCCTGGCTTAGGTCGTCCCCTCTCTCTCCTTGTGCAGTAGGGATGAGTAAATTCTTCTGCAAGACGATCAATTTAGGACAAGTAAAAAAAATCTTATCGAGGTATAGCTGATTTGCAATATTAGTTTCATGTGTACAACATAATGATTCAATATTTTTATAGATTATACTCCGTTTAAAGTTATTCCAAGATAATGGCTATATCTCCCTGCGCTGCACAATACACCCTTGCTGCTCATTTGTTTTCTGCATAGTAGCCTGTACCCCTTAATATGCTACCCCTATCTTGGCCCTCCCCCCTTGCCTCTTCCTGCTGGTAAGCACTAGTTTTCCCTGTGAACCTGTGAATCTGTTTCTTTTCTGTTCTACCCACTAGTTTGTACTATTTTTTTAGATTCCATGTACAAGTGGTAACATAAGAGTATTTGCCTTTCTCTGTCTGACTTAATTTCACTTAGCATGAGACCCTGCAGGTCCACCCATGTTGTTGCAAGTGGCAACATTTCATTTGCTTTTATGACTGACTAGTGTTGCCTTGTATATACACAGCACACCTTCTTTATGCATTTATCTGAAGGACACTTAGGTTGTTTCCGTAACTTGGCAACCATAAACAACGCTGCTGTGAACACTGGGGTGCAGGTGTGGGACAAGTGAAATGTCGATGGGCTCCAGCCACTCCCATATGCACACCACTGCGTCCTACCGGGACGGAAATCCTTGGCACTTCCCTGCATAATCCCTCAGCATGGAATGCTGTCCCTCCCCATCTCCTGTCCATCTTCCTTGGCTGACTGTGATGACCTGTCCGCCTCTGTGTGGTCACGTGGTTCCCCACAGTTAGCTAAGGAACTCACCTGCGTGGTGCTCACCGTATGCCAGGCCCTGTGCGGCGCCCTGGAGACAAACAATGACAGCTACTACGTCACAGCACCCGCTGGGTACTGGTCTAAGTAGTTTACAAGCAGTAACACTTAAAACCCCCCAGCAACTCCTTAACCAGGCACCATTACTCCTCTTCCTCTTGTAGAGGAGGCTGAAGCTGGGATGCAGGTGTCCGGGCAGTAACACCGGTGCTCCTAGCAGTCCACAGTGTGCCCCCTGCAGAGGGCTGAGACCTGGATCCAGGGTCTTCCATCTGCTCCCGAGAACCGAGCACGTGCCTCTGTTAATGCACTTACCGTGGGGCTTCTTCACTGTTTGTCTGCCTACGTCTCCGCTGGACTCTGAGCTCTTTGAAGGCAAGAATTTCATCTTCGGTCATCTTTGAAGTTCTGAGCCAGCAGAGTACCAGTACGCACCCTCCACCCTCAGAAGAGAAACACAGTTTACCCACAAAGAACCCTAGACAGAAGCGCCTCACCCTCTCTCCCTCTGGTGACAGCATCGCCAGAATGTCGTTAGTGTAAACCTTTTCTGGCTCTCCGTCCATCCCAGGAATCTTCCCCTCGGTGGGAGGCATGAGAGCAAACTCGAGCTTCGAGATGGAGTCGAAGCACTTCCTTAAGTGCGGCTGCACAGCCTGGGGGTTTCGGGTCTGGGCCAGAATCTCCAGGAGTTCATCGTTTGACAAGAAGTAAAATCTGGATGAAAGAAAATACTTAAAATGTAACTTGAAATTGAAGCAAAGCCTTATGTAAACAGGAAAGATAAATCTCTTAGCTGTATCCTTTCCCAGCCACTGATTTCCCAGCGGTCCTGGGTTTCTGGAGAGGCCACGTGTCTCTAAATATGATTGTTATGAAAAATCGTGCAGATGCATCTCAAACATCTAGAATTAGTGCCTGGAACAGAAAAGGCAGATATATTTCAGAAAACTTGTAAAAATGTAGCTCCTGCTCTGGTCCTGATTTGTTCCCACGTCTCACACTTGGTTTGCAGCCCCTGGAGTAAAGGTGTGCATGTTACCTGGTTTCTCTAGAATCTAGCCTTGTACACCCGTATTCAATACATGACTTGTTGCAAAGATGCACGGGAGGCTGTTGGAGCCTTATCTGATTCTGTCAACACACACACGTGGGCCATGCTGGTGTGACCCTGCCTGGGATTTTCTTGATCCTGTCCAACAGGGCCATCTGGAGGCATGAAGGGACCCTATGAAAAAACCTTGGAGAAGGGACACCCTTGGATGCCCAGGGATGAGACAGAGGGATGAGGGTTTGGCTGGAGAAGACACTTCAGTCCCGCGGAGGAAGCTGCCTGTGAGAGATCCCTCAGGATTGGAGGGACCCCAAGACCCCATGGCAGGCCCTGTGTGAGAGAGGGGGCCAGATGGGTATCAGCCAAGTAGACCTCTCCTCCCCTCCCTGCCCCAAACCTGGAGATCCCAGAACCCTAACGGGAAGGGAGAGGGTTGAGCACCACACATCCTCATCACCACTGAAGCCTTCAGCCCTGCATCAGGCTTGGCCAGAGAAAGGGGAAGTTTTCACTTTGAAAGAAATTCAGAGTTTTGATCATTACAGATTATTTATTGAGTTATGGTGACAAGAGTTTATTTTGTATTATTATATGAGAATGACCAGAAAATCCACGAGGCCTGCTCAAGATTTTATCCAGGGACAGGGAGAGACTAGCCCCCAGCAGGGAACACAGGGGCAGCCATTGGAAATAAAGATGTTTTGGGTTGCACTGTGTTAGCCCTGCTTCTTTGAAATACCACGTGCAGTAATAACTTGTCCCCCTGCCTCTTTGCAACGTATGACACAGGTAACCATCAAGAGTGGTCAGTGAGCCCCGTGAGAGCAGGAACAGTGTCGCCTACGTTCGCCTTGTGTCCCCAGGATCTAATTTGGTCCGTGGCTCATAGTAAGTCTTCATTAAGGCCTGTAGCGTGAAATCAACCCCGCACAGGGCCTGCTGACACCATAAACATGGCAGACCTAGTTGATGTAATTCTAAACAAAAGGAGAAATAAAAGCCGATGCTTTCTGGTGTGCAGCATTACCACAGGTCAATGTGTGCTCAGGTTTCTTTGAAGATCAAAGGCAGGGTACAGGCTGTCTCTGGCCTTGGGAGACTCAAGTGGGAACCCACTGATTCAAGAGTGAAATGAACAAAAGGCACGTTCCAAACCTCGAACTGTCTTCCCCCACGCTGCCTGAATGACGTTTTGCTAAGATTTGCGCACATTCTTTAAAGCCCAGCTGACTGTGCTGAACTCGGCCAGCTCTTCCAGATCTTGGCTATCTCGTGCGCACACCTGCCCTGTCCTGGCACCCAGCAGCAACCCTCCTCAGCCACGTAGCCCACACGAGCACCTAACCCTGGCTAGCTCAGGGTTTGTTCCGAGACAGACTTTAACAGCTAACAGGAAAAAAAATCCATGAAAGATGAACTGTTCTGCGATGTTCTGTGTGTTACGGTACAATGGGCCCCAGTCACCGAAGTCAGGCACTTCTGCTAACCACCAAGTAGTCACATTCTGGTCACAGACAATTATATTCTAATTGTGTATTTATATGACTGTCTGCCTGTTAACCCTGAGCTCCATTAGAGCAGGGACCTGGCTTTTTCTTCTTTGTATCTTTAGCACTGAGCAAAACGTTTGGTATGTTTTTAGAATGAGCGGATGAGTAAAAAAAATTTCACTTGGAATTTGTTAAACGACCTCTTAGAAAAATTCTGCAGTGATACCCTTAGGCCACCAATTAACCTAAAGAAACCTGCTCCGGCAACACAGGTCTTGCTAACTTTTCACACACACATCTGTAGACACACATGAGTGCAGGCACACACAGACACACCCAGCAGTGAAACACTGCTGTGATCAAGAATCCTTCTAGCACACCTCAGATGCTTACCCACTTAAACATTTACCAAATATTGTATCTTCATCCTTTAGGCTGACGCCCCCCCAATCAACACATTAGCTGGACTGCCAACATCAAATGTCTTTCCTGCTTCCCTTTCTGGTTCCCTGATGTTTTGAGGTTACAGTTTGTTTTTAAATACAGCCTTATAAATTCATGGATACTCTCATAACAACTAAAAATACTGTTGGTAGCTTTATAAACTTACCTTGGAAAGATAACTCTTTTTGATTCTAAATATGCCTCTAGACACTTCTGAATTTGGTCAAGTAATGCATTATTATTTTGAAAAGTCTCCAAAAGTCCTAGAAAAAAAACAGTATTGGTAAAATTGTGTTACAATAAAGAAAGAATATAATTTAAAATGGAAATAAAATATGATATTAATATTTTTAAAAGCTTTGGTTTTATTTGATAAAAGAATGATCTAATAAGTTAACATTTGGCGGGTTGGCTAAGGATGTTAACTATTACCTTTAATAATAACACTCATTTTAATACTTGCCACAGATGGACAAGCGCTTAATCTGAAACCTCCTTATCTGGCATCGCCCGCTCTTGGGGGCTGAGGGTGCGCAAACCAAAGCCAAACAGCTGCCTTGTCTTGGACCCTCCAGGCAAAGCCATTCTCTAAACGCTACGCGATCTCTGTCACTTTCTCGCTCATGTCTTCTGCTTCTTCTGCCATCTTTAGATGCACAAGTGATGGCAACAGCATCCTATTTCTCTATCACTAACCCGTAGCACCTTAAGGAGCAAGATGCACGTTTCATTTAACTCGGAAGGTTTGGTCCCTCTCCCAGTGCCTGGCTTCCCCGCCTGTCCAAGAATCGAATCTGGTTTTTCCCACGCTCCTGAAGACTCTACGTGAACAATGACCCAACCCAATCCCCAGCCCCGCAGCCCCCCACCAAGCACGCTCACCCCTCCGGCCCCACCTCCTAAGCCCCCCCACCGTGTGCTCCAGCCCACCCCCTCTGGCTTCCTTGCTGACAGCATGCATGCTAAGTGTGCTCTTACCACCTCTGCTGTTCTCTGACTTTACAGTCCTCCCTTAGATCCACACGTATGTTTCATTTCCTCATTCGTGCAGATTTCTACTCAAAAGCCACTTTATCAAAAAATCCTTCCATCTCACACACACACACACACACACACACACACACAGGCATGCACGCACACTACACCCCCTAGCCACTTTTTAGCCTCTACACCCTGCTTAACTTTTCTTCACAGCTTTATCATCACCCAAAATCATACGGACAGGCCCACACTTCTTTTTCTGAAATCCCTAGGACCAAAGGTATTTTGGAATCTTTTTTTTTTGACTTTCAAAATATAACAGAAGTCTAGTAGAGACTGGAGGCAACACTCTGTAATAAAACGTATTGATATTTTTCTTTCTCTTTTTGGTTTACTTCAGTTGGAATGATGACCTTTGGGAGTCTGAAATTTGCAGACACTGACTACTATATATAAAATAGATAAACGACAAGCTTCTACTGTACAGCACAGGGAACTACATTCAGTATCTTGCAGTAACTTACAATGAAAAAGAATATGAAAAGGAATACATGCATGTATATAGAGGACTGAAACATCACGCTGCATGTCAGAAATTGACACAACATTGTAAACTGACTATACTTCAATTGAAAAAATATTAATAACAACAAGAAGAATAATAGTAACAGGGTCCATTCATGTTGCTTAGTGAGAGTGTCAGGTGGACCACGAGCATTCCTGGTCAGCAGTGCTGACTAGAATCAGGGTTGAACGTCACCACACGTTAGTAGAATCTCACAGGTGATGGATGTTTGGGGTGACTGTGAAGTCTTTCTCTTGGTCCCTTTTCTACCTGGTTGGGTGGCCGCTCGGAGGGCGTTGGGGAGCCGGTTCACTTTCCTCATGATCTCTTTCCATGACTTATCCACCTGCAGGAACATCTTGGCCTCCGCAGGCAGCTGCCTCTGAATATCTGGAGCATTAAAAATACTTTCCAGGTACAGCCAGTTTCGCTGGCAGTTCAGCCACTCTTCCTAGGACAAAAAATAGGAATCCAGATTTTTTGACCTCAAATCAAAAACACATAGGAGCTGAGGGTGGCTGCTGGCTGACAGCCAGTAAGAAAATGAAGTCTTTAGTCCTCGAATTGCAAGAAAATGATTTCTGCCAAAGTCCCTCCTTAGCTGAACCTCTGATGAGAACCCAGTCCTGGGTCACATCACTCATTCATTCACTCATTTTAATGGAGGTACTGGGGATTGAACCCAGGACCTTGAGCATGCTAAACACATGCTCTACCACTGAGCTGTACCCTCTCCCTGCACCCACATCTTGATTGAACCCTTGTGAGATTCTAAGTAGGAGACCCTGTTTAGCCATTCCGGAATTCCTGACCCACAGAAACTGTGGGATAATAAATGTATGTGGTTTTATAACACTAAGTTTGTGCCATTTTGCTTCACGGCAATAATACCTAATACAAGGGTGAAGGCATAATCTTCTGAAGAAGAGCTTAATATATCTGCATCTTCCTTACATTCCAGGCATAATAAAATGTCAATAATGAAATCTCAGATCTTAAAGGCACAGTGTTTAAATGACTGCGCAAATGATTTCTAAGGTCCCGTGGCTCTCCAGTGCTCTGGGTCCATGACCTGAAATGGCCCTTACTCACCAGTGTTTGGTTAAATAAAGCAAGATGCTTCTGCCAGTCATCCACTCGCGCTTTCAGGGGACCCACGTACCGTGATGAGGCCATGGTGGCGATGTTGATGGTGCTGTCATCAAGAAGCACCTTTAAAAAAAAAGGCGAAGAAAATACATACAACATCATGTGTTTGTGCTCTCAAAAATAGTTCCTCATATTAAACTGCAAGAGTCCATTTAAAAGCCAGCTTTTTGAATGAACAGCTGAGTCCCGCCTACATCCCTACCCATCCACTCCTCCTCCTCCCCTTCACTAGGGCTTACAACCCACTAAGACGTTCTCTCAAGTGTCACCAAGGAACTTCTGATGGTCCAATCCCAGCCATTTCTGTAATTATTAACGGCACACACTGTTCCGCTTAACCCTCTTCTTCTCTGTCCTCCACAAGGTATCTGGTACTTTCTTTATCCTAGTTGGTCTTCCAGGTCTTTATTTCCCAAAGTAATCAAAACTTGAAAAATCACGTATATTTTCTATCCAGCGAAACCCCACTTTCCCTCAATAATCTTGAGGAAGAGGAAAGCTGAACTCATTTGAATGATTATAGACAGTGTTTCCTCTACTTCCCTCCCCTCTCCCCCTCCCCTTTATACCACAACAACCCTCGTAGGACATGTACATTTTTTAAAATGTGTAGGATTTTCATTGCTCTATTTAAATTATAAACTTCTTGAGAGTAGAAGATCCATCACCTGCCATCGCTTGGCCTCAGACTGACCGGTCTTCATCTGGGGTCTGCTCCCCCCTCCAGTGCCCAGAGTGATGTCTGGGATCACTCTCCCAACCCACACCTGGCAAAGTCCTTTCATCTCCAGTCCTGGCCTGGGTCCACCCTAACAGGCCAGGGCTTTGCTGTTTAAATTGGGCCATAATCTCCAGATCCCACTGCTAAACAAATGTGCTTTTGGATTTTATGTCACTAAGAATATTCCAAACACGTGGGCTGGATTTATCTCCTTTTGGTGTTAACGGCGCACGACCACCAGCCTCTAATATCAGAGACTCAAGCGAACTTAGCTTCTTGGCGTGCTATAGCCCTGAGACGCCCATTCATGCATCTTCACCTCATTTAAAGGGTTTGAGGTGCCTTCCGTTCTCATTTAGGCCTATCAGATCCCCTCTGCTCTTTAAGGTTCAGCGTGTCTTGGCTGGTCTGGGAAGGATTCTCTGATCATTTCAGCCACAGCAGATCTCTTTGCTGTCCTAAATTTCTCAACAGTCACCAACTACAGGATTATAACTCTCCCAAACATAAGCCATTTCTATTGCTTTGCTAAACTATTTCATGTGCAAGCATTCTCATCAATTACTCATACTTTTATTTTGCCTTCCCAATTATGTATTTTTCCTATTTAGTAACTCCTATATTTCATTCCTTCATCATAATCTCCCACGGACTTTTTAGGACGAGGTCTGGCAAGAATCTTTACCGTAAGTTTCAATAACCCCATCACCCACCTGTATGTCATCTGTGCCGCCCAGGATAAACACATCTTTGGAGTCACGGTGAGGGAGAACAACAAATTCGGTTGTTTTCCAAGAATCCTCCACCTTGGAAACAGTTCAAGATCTCTTAGGATATGTAAATTCACTTGTGTTTAGGTACTCGATAAAGGTATGTGGCATGACGTAAGTGATAAACCCGGAATGATCCTGTTCTCCTCCTGACTGCCTTTAAAATTCTTGGTTAGATGACACTGACTTGCTTAATTTTATTGACCAGCATTAATGCAGATGAATAACTGGCGACACTTTCATGCATATTCCCTACCGCTCTGTGCTTTAATTAAAAAGGATAGAAGTTCTTTCCACACAGGTGATGGGTAGGTGCCTGTGTGTTCTTAGAGTAAGCAGGTTGAGTGTCCCAAGGAGGGAAGTCTTCTCAGCGTCTTTCTGAACCACTTTCACATAGTTAATCTCCTTTAGCATGTAGTTTGAAAGACAATGTGTTTTGGCACAAGAGGTCTCCCTTGCTTATGTGGTTCTTTATACAAGCACGCACATTTCAAACCTTGCTGCCGTCAAGTTCACGTTGGACTATCAGCTAAGCAGAAAGAAGATATTTACAGAGGAGACAGCAATGATAATGGTAATAAATGTGAGGCAAGAGCAGGAGGGCAACGGACAACGAGAGGGTGAAACTTCAATGCTAAAAAAAGAAATCCATTCAAGTAAAACAGAAGTTGATGATCTTCCCACCAAATACGAAAACCTTTGCGCTCCCTGAACTCAGAATACACATTTGTCCGATTTACCTTTTTAAGAATTGTTTCTAAGGCAGCTTCTCCAGAAGCCTGTCCAGAAATGTCCTGGATTTCTTGGCCGAAGTCAAAAACGTGCAACTCGGTGAGCTTCTCCAAGGTTAAGGAGACGTCGAGGTCCACCAGAGTGGCGTCAACTGTCTGTTCAATGGCTGCCCAGTGTCGAGGCTTCAGGGTTGGGTTCCTCAGGTCAACAATGACTGGAAGCTGGAAAACAGACTCTCTCAGAGGAGCCATGCTTGTTATCTTGAAAACAGCCTAAGGCTTCTGGTTTCAATTTGGGCACGTAGAGAGCTGGAAAGAATATGACTTACATGCTTACGACAAAGAAAAATACAGACAGACTACAAATGAATGACTTGTACTGAATCCATCAGAAAAGTGAGCTCAGTACCCGGAGTTTTCTCCACAGCAAGAAACAGGACCTGAGAATTTGCTTCCTGATGGACAAATGATTTGGGTTTCCATTTAAGCTACTAAGAAGATTTGGCTAAATTTTAAAAAATAAATTGCTATTAACTTAATACCCATTTCCATAAGGATCTCTGATTCATTTTATTGGAAAATGGCATTGAAAACCAAGATCTGGACACAGGCTATGTTACTGCAAGAAGCAATGAGACAGAACATAACCAACCCCTTAAGCGTATGTAGGCTTTGCTTCGAGACTTCCTTTCAAAGAACAGTTTGGAAGGTTGGGTAGTAACTTTACAGTGGAGATCCACGTGATCAAGCTTAACAGCATTAGTGAAACGTTGCACTGACGGCATGTGCCTTTAATAAGACAGGGTAAGAATAAGGCTTTACCTCTGTGGTCTTCCTTGCAAGAATCCATAACCCCAGTCTCATTCTGAGAAAAATATCAGACAACCCCAGATTGATGAACGTTCTATAAAATGCCTGATTATTACTTTTCAGAATTACCAAGATCATGAAAAAACAGGGAAAGTCTGAGAGTCTGTCACAATCTAGAGGAGTCTAAGAAGACAAGACATCTAAATGTAATGCTTATTCGGGAAAGGATCCTGGGACAGAAAAAGAGCATTAGATAAAAATGAGAAAATTCAAATAACTGACGGACTTTATCTAATTGTAATATATTGACATTGTATCATTACTTGTGACAAATGTATCTCACTCATGTAGTATGTTAACAGTAGAGGAAACTGGGTATAGGGCATGTGGGAAACCTTGATGTTACAGTTGTAAGTTATCTGTAAGTCTAAAATGACTTTAAAATAAAAAGTTTGTTAAAAAATAAATGACGCAAAAATTGATGGGACGTAAGGGGATTAGACACATCCACAATGATACTGGGACGTTTCAGCGCTCCTGAGTAACAGATGGAAAAGTAGGCAGAAAACCAGTATGGAGATGGATGGCCTGTACACTATAGTCAACAAACTTGACCTCATTGACACTTGCAGAAAAATCACTCATAAATTGCAGAATACACATCTTCTTTAGTTCTTTTTCTCTCCTTAAAAAAAAAAATCTAAAACTGCTTGAAAGGAAAAACAAAAACCATTTCCCCCTTTCTTCAAATTTCAAGTACTGGTTTAGCAGTGATTGGTTTCAAAGAGCCAGCTCTGCATGTCTACTGCCGGGCTTCCCAGCCTTTTCACATTGTGGCCTGTCTGGAAAATGCCATACTGTTTGGTGCAGCAATGTAAATGGGCAAGGCTGCCCTCGCCTCACCTGGCTGAGGGCTGAGTGGATCAGCATGTTGGCTTACCTACAGCCCATTCCTGCACTGTTCACCCACCACCTGGTAAACTCTTACTCTGAATGCTCCTTCTAACCAAGGTCTTCAATGGCATGATTTGGCCAGCTGAAGATAAGGATGCAGTCTGCGGCTCTGTGATAACTGAATTTGCCTGCTCTTTCTTCTCTCACTGCAAAGCTGACTAATTTAAACCGGAAAGAATTCCTGGCTCTGATCGTTCATTAGCATCAAGTAGTAACTGACTGACCTGGAGTTTCTGAAATAATTTCTACCAAACTTACCTTTTCTTTCATTTTCTCCACCTTAAGTTTTAGCTGGGGCACTACGCTGTTGGGTGGCAAGCCCTTTTCCAGTTGAGTCACAAATTTGGCATATTTAGAAACTTGACTGTTCAGAAATTCTGGATCCAGGGAGTCAAACTTGGACTATGAAAAGTAGGGGGGAAAAAAAAGAAGTTAAGATGTATGACCAAAGGCAAACTTGAAACCATACATTTCTTTCAACTCAAATTTTTTCATAGCTATGCTGCTAACTGAAGTCAACTCTACACCTTTGGAAGTGGCCTTACTTACTATGGTTTCTAACAGTAAACCAGGCATTGCCTTTTCATTACTTTCATGTCCTTTCCCCACACCATCAAATGCAGTAATACAATCCTATAATTAATTCCTGACGGCCAACCCTTGTAAGTTTATAAATAGCTAATTTTAACTCTTGCAACCTAGAAATTTCTCACCAAACATTCTTCATTATTTGAGTATGTACCCCTTCAATATAACTGATTTAAAGATGTACTCCAATACATGCATGTATCTATAAATATATTTCTCAGTTATATAAACATTTAAGTGTACACATGTATTGACATGTCAGATGGTTATATAGACTGACGGCAATAGGAAATCTGTAAAAATGAAAAGACACTCCATGCTCATGGATTAGAAGAATTAACATTATTAAAATATTCATACCACTGCTGGTAGGAATGTAAATTGGTGCAACCACTATGGAAAACAATATTAAGATTCTTCAAAAAATTAAAAATAGAACTACCACAAAATTCAGCAAATCCATTTATCCTAAGAAAACAAAAAGATATATAAACACCCATATTCACAGCAGCATTATTTACAATAGCCAAGAAATGGAAACAACCTAGGTGTCCACCAATGGATGAATGAAAAAAGGTGGTAAATGTATCCAATGGAATATTAGTCAGCCATAAAAAGAATGAAATCTTGTTACTTGTGACAACATGATGGACCTTCAGGGCTTTATGCAAAATGAAATAAATCAGACAGAGAAAGACAGATACCATATGATCTCAATTATATGTAGAATCTGAAACAAAATTAAAAAAACTCATAGAAACAGAGAACAGATTAATGATTTCCAGAGGAGGGGGGTGGGTGGGTGAAATGGGTGAAGGAGGTCAAGAGGTACAAACTTGCAGTTATAAAATAAATAAATCACAGGGCTGTAACAAACAGCACGGTGACTATAGTTAATAATACTGTATCGCATATTTGAAAGTTGCTAAGAGAAGAGATCTTAAAAGTTCTCATCATCAGAAAAAAAAATTTTGTAACTACACATGGTGACAAATGTTAACTAGACGTATTGTGGTGATCATTTCACAATATACACAAACACAGAATAATTACACTGTACACCTGAAACTAATATAATATGTCAAATATGCCCCCAATTAAAAGAAGAAAATTTGTAAATGTTCTTTTTTTTCCCCCTAGATTCAACATTTTCTTTTTGCCCCCTAATGGGTCTTCTTGTGCACTTCCTACGATAAATTCACCCCACTTTGGAAGCCACTGCTCTGACCTATGGTGGTAATTAGATAACTCTCTAAGCTTCTTCTTAACTCCTCAGGAGCATTTTCCACTTCTGTGATAAGTGACAAATGAGTTATACAAGAGCTCTTAAAATTCTCTGATATCATAGCATGTATATGTTTGTTTGTTTTCTGCTTTCTCCACCAAAAGGTAAGTTCTGCGAGGGTTCAGACTTCTTCCTTTTCATCCTCCACTGGTATCCACAGCACCAGATCATCATCTGGGAAACATTCTTGTGGTTTAATTTAGATATGTGACTTCTAATTATAGGTATCAGTGCAGGTAAGCTGAACAAGCAAGTGTAAAACAGTATTTGTGAAGCTGATGGCATTTCTAACACGCCCACATCACACTCGGAGAGTAGATGGGCCATCGATCTATTCTGCCTACTAGTGAGTGGGTTGACCCTTGCTAAGGTTTGAATATAAGGGTAGACCTTAGAAACCAAACCTTGTGGTACTTGGCCCCCTAAATGAGAGAATTTACTATTGCGAGCTCTTAAGGGAAGAGCCTAGATCTCATTACTGTGATTGTTCTGTCACAGTAAACAAAATGACTTTTTTTTTTTAAAAAAAAGGACAGTAAGCTCAGAGCCTAAGCTAACAGAAATCTGACACATGTAGATCAGAAATTAAATCCTACAATCCTTAAGAACAGCTGGCTGCAGTGTATCAGGACAACACTGTGTTCAGAAGTCACCACAAAGCACTTACATGTCACGCAGTGAGGCCCCTCGATGCGTCTTTCATTTAGTGTTCTTACGCGGGACCTGAGATGCCTACCTTACAGTAACGCGTCCTGCTCTGTGCCACACAGTGACAGAAAGGCCTTTCTGCATTTCACTGTAAAGCTGACAATAACACCTATAGAACTATAACACTGCATATCCTACTGAAGTTAAGACTATATCAGATTGTTAAAAAAAAGTATAATTCATGTCTTAGGATTTTAAAAGCTTAATTAATATAAAAATAATTTAAGAATTGAGAGCTTTTTTTTTAACCTTTAACCATTCTTGCTGAAGTTGATCCCATTCAGATAAAGAATCCCAGAGCAATTGTTTGAGCTTCAATTCAGCACTAACTTCTTCCAAAGCTTCAAACTTGGACACTTCTACCTTTAAAAATATAATAAGCAAAATGCACTATTTAATTTTCAGATATAGAGATCCTATGTTACCTTTCTATACTAATTTTTGATACAGTGACATCTTAGCAGAATATGGACTGAGAAAGTAAAGGAGAGACAGAGACAAACAAAACAAACCACAAAACACTGTGTATATTCAACTTACCATTTGAGTGACAAAATATAACTCTATATTTCCCTAGAACTTAGAAATTCTCCAAAGAGTACAAAGTCATTATTCCTCAAGCTGGATCACACATGTACACACATGCCTGGCCTTTTGGGGAAGACACCTGAGTATTCAGAGGCACCGACATCCATTAGGGCTTATATCTTATTTGACATAAGAGGCAGAAGGCATTTGCCTGGTAGCTGGTGGAGGGGGTGAGAAGACTGAAGAGAGGGAACAGCCCAGTGTCTTACCTCTTTCTAACTCACATGTACTGGCTATGAACCCTACAGAGAGAAAGGTTGCAAGAAAACTTGAAGAAGCTGTTTTCATGGCTTGGAGGTAGGGAAACCTCCAGGAGGCTGGCCGCACAGAAACCGTGAGCCTTGTGATAAGCTAGAGCTTTAAACCTTCCACCCAACAGCAGCAAAATACACAGTTCTTTCCAGGTGCACACAGAACACTCCCCAGGACAGACCATACGACAGGCCACAAAAAAAGCCTCAGCAAGTTTAAGAAGATTGAAATTATCTTCAGGATCTTTTCCAGCTACAATGATACGAGACTAGAAATCAACAAGAGGAAAGAGGGAAAATTTACAAGTACAACACACTTCTGAACACCCAACGGGCTAAAGAGGAAATCAAAGGGAAATAAAAAATATCTTGAAACAAATGAAAATGGAAACACAGCACAGTGAAACCTATGGGATGCTGCAAAAGTAGCTGAGAGGGAAGTTTACAGTGATAAATGCTTACACTAAGAAAACAGAAAAAATGAAAACGAATGTATGTATGCATGTGCATGACTGGGACGTTGTGCTGCACACCAGAAATCGACACATTGTAATTGACCTTACTTCAGTTAAAAAAAAGAAAACATTAAGATCTCAAATAAACAACTTAACTTCACACATCAAGGAACTAGGAAAAGGGGGAATAAGCTAAACCCAAAGTTAGCAGAAGAAAGAAAATAACAAAGATTAGAGTAGAAATAAAACAGAGACCAGAAAAAACAGTGGAAAAGGTCAACGAAACTAAGAGCTGTTTTTTAAAAAAGATAAACAAACGTTAAGCTAGACTAAGAAAAAAGAGAGAAGATTCAAATAAATAGAATCAGAAACGAAGAGGAGATCTTACAACTTATGCTACAGAAATACACAGGATCACAAGAGACTACTATGAACAATTCTATGCCGACAAAGTGGGTAACTTGGAAGAAATGCATGAATTCCTAGAAACATACAACCTATCAAGACTTAATGAGGAAGAAACAGAAAATCTGATCAGACCAATAAGGATGAAGGAGACTGAATCAGTTATCAAAGACCTCTCAACACAGAAAAGGCCAGAACCAGATGACTTCACTGGTAAATTCGACCAAACATCTGGGGGAAAAAAAAGAATTAATGCTCATCTTTCTCAAACTTTTCCAAAACATTGAAGAGTTAGGAACACTTCCAAACTCATCTTACAAGGCCAGCATTACCCTGACATTAGGGATCTAGCCTAGTCTTCATTAAGAATTAGAAATGATCTCCTAGGGCAGCTAAGCCTTCACTCGCATCCCCCCAGTGACCGAGAGCTGCAGAGCAAGGCTGGATGTGAGGTGATCAGAAAGGACCGTAAAGTACAGATACGAAACACGGAAGGAGGGGACACACTTCACTTCAGGCTCTGGCTCAAGCGATGCTGCTCTTTCTGACCCGGGGAGAACCCACCTGTTAGTTATAGCTTTTTATCAAACACTGTTTCCTCCATAGCTCCCTTCCTACCGCATACTCTCCAGTCTTACAGGGCAGTTACAACTCACTGTGGGAACAAGTCTGAGCCCTCATTCTCTCAGGCACAAACCTCCGGCCTTGAGTACGGCACTGGCTGCACTGTCGAGGGCCAAGGTCATTGTTTTGCAGGTTGCTCTGCCAAGCCCCGGGCTCTCGAGCGGACACCCAGAGCCCCCACAGACCACTCTGTGGCCATCCATTTGGGATTCCGGAACAGATTAACGCATCCCCATGTGAGGTCCAGGCACTCCTCCAAAATTTTAGGGGGAGACTATTAACACCTCCCTTGTTGCTGGTGGCCTTCTGGTTTTGATCCTAGGAATCTTTCTATCATCATTTCTTTTTGGTCTCTCTAATAGCTGTTGAGAGCACTTTTATCTCTCACCCATTTCTCTTCTCTCTTTTTTTTTTGAGGCATATTTTTTATCCCTTTTGGACCATCCATCCCCTGGCTTAGCCAAATTCTCTTCTTTTATCAAATTGGCACATCAAACCAGGGCAAATCAGGCAATACTGATGAAATCATAATACACAGATAAGTGTAAAAGAAGCTTGAATATTACTTAAGAAAGAATAGAGGGGCTTTAATTGACCACATTCAAAAATCTATGTACATTTTAACAGAGAGACTAGACCCTGGTCTGAGGATTTGTCTATAATTCATAATTTTTTTAAAAAAGAGGCTTTGTCTTGCATGTGTAGTAATTTTTAAACACTTCAAAGGTGGAGAACACATCATATTCTGTATTTCAGACTGTTCCAGCACAGTGACAAGCACACAGGTGTCCAAACACTGAATATTTACAATCACATTAATGAAAATGCTTCGCTATCAGTGCCATTTCTATGCACACATTTAAAAAACTTGCAGAGCTATCATTACCTTAAAATTCTTCTGATAGGATTTATATTGAAATGCACGTTTCTGAAGATCGTCCAGAACGAACTGCAGATCTTTCAACATGACCTTTATTTTGTCTTGGTCAGCATTAATATCCAAAATCTGTGGATCCTGTAAAATTAAGTTTTTGATTAGTTATTCCTACTTTTTGGTGTACACCATTAAGTTAAATAAATAAACATTTTCCAAAACAGTTTTTTCTAATTCTCTGTCACTCTAATTTTCAGAAAGTACTTTTGAAATGGTTGCTTTTCTTGAATTTTAAAGCAATGCATACACATCATAAGAAGCACAGAAATGCATAAAGAAGTACCATGGGGATAACATTGTTTTTAAAGAGTATCTAATATATTTTCCCTCGTCCTCTTTCATTTGCTACATTTTTTCAACATGACTTCACATGAAAAGAAAGAAGAGCATATGATGAAGAAAATTACCATTTTACAGTAAAGGAAATAAAAAGTCCTTGGATTTCTGAGATGGAGGGAGAGAGAAAATAAAGAATCAATGGTAAGACGTAAGCGTTCCGCTGACCTGTTGGGGTTGAAACCCCACCCGGCAAGTGGGAACGGAGAAGTTCAGGAGCAAAGTGGGACCATCCAACCAGGTTTGGGAGAATCTGAGCAAACTGGAGGAGCCTGGGAACTGCCAGAGCCAGAGCCTGGGGAGGCCAATTATTCCACCCGCTTCAGCGTGATTCTCTATTCAAAACGGCAACATGCAAAAGCTAAGGGAAGCGTCCAGGCAGAGGGGCTTGTGCTGACTCTGGTGCCTCGCGGCTTGGTGTGGTCTGCAGGGGATCGTGGCATTCTCGTGTGCCTTGATTCTAAGTGGGAACTACTGAGAGACATGGTGCATCAGAAGAAGTCAGAGGTCAGGAGGAGAAAGCCACCGATTTCTTGAGTCTGTAGAGTATGGCAGAAAAGATGGGTTTTAGCAGCTGGGGTGGGCGTGGTACCTAAAGAACCAGGACGGACCCTGAGCTGACAGCTGCCTGGGACAACCAGGCACAGCCGAGCCCAACTGCACTGACAGCCCTCTGCTCCAGAGGGCAGGACGAGGACTGGACACCCTGGCCCTCCATTCACCAGGAGGAAACGCCGACTTCCCCTGATGGGGCAGAAGGTGGAAGGAGATGGTGGCAAGGCTGAAGAAGTGCTTGAGAGGGAGTTCAGATTTTGAACTAAATTAAAACCTCTTGCAAAGATACCAAGTTAGAATGGGAAAGGCATGCCAAACTGAAAGAAATCAAGTGGTCACCAATTCACATTTCAGTTTTAGCTCCACCTCCCTTCATCAGCAAGGAGCGGTGGTCTCGACAGCAAGACGACACCATTTACGGAAATAACAAAGTTGCGGTTCTTTGCTCCAGAGTGATGCTGAATGAATCCCAAACCCTCCAGAGAGGAAGCACTGGCTGGAGAGAACGTCTGCTGTCGTTTTTCTGTCCGTGCATCATGCTTTTTTAAACGGATCATTACACATAAAGCGCTTGCTGGCACTTTTGCTCTCTCTAGCAATCTATCGATACACACACGCATTGTTCCTAAACAAAGAATAATCATTCAGACTTTCTCAGAGCCTGCTGTGTGGAAGACAATACAGCGGACCCTTGAACACACGGGTCTGAACTGTGCGGTTCTGCTTACATCTGGCTTTCTTTCACGAGACGTGTGCTACGGCCCTACACAATCCAAGGCTGGCTGAAACCCCAGATGCAGAACCCCAGACACGGAGGGCTGGCCGGTCAGCACCCGAACCCCCGCTGTTGTTCTAGGGCTAACTGTCCGCAGCACAGCAGTTAACTGTATGCTCTATTTAATTGCAGTTCACAAGCAGGAAAAATGAACTTACAGCTGTAAAATTCAGGGTAATGGCTAGCTATGGGGAGGAAGGAAGGGTTGGCGACTAGATGGGGCGCTAAGTTCCAGTAACATTATAGTTCTTGACCGGAGCACTGCACACAGGGCTGTGTTCTTTTCGATAATTCACTGTATAGTTATTACGGTTACGTACAGTTTTCTCTGTGCAAAAAGTGCAAAAATACTTCAATGCAAAAGCGAAAACAACGCCAAGTCCTTAGAACTGTACTTGATACGTAGTAAGCACACAATAAATGTTATGTACTTTTATGTTTCCACATCAACACATACAAATGTCTGCCGTAATCTTTAATGTTGGCATGGTATTCCCTTGAGTGAATGTACCCCCAACACATTTTATTAATTCTCTGTTGAAAGACATTGAGTTTTTCTCATTTTTTTTCCTGATTTGCTTATTACTTGATATGGTTTTATTCTTCTATGATAAGATTTAGTCAGTGTTAATAATCACAGATCATTATAAAATGATGTAGTTTCAAGTATGCTTCAGTCAAGAATCCCCTGGATGTCTATGCTATGTTCTTAAAAAATTCTTCTTGGACTTTTCGTACAGGAAAGTTGGTGCAAGTTAATCAAATATTCTTCATTATCATTTATCCTTTAATACTATTTCCTTCTAAAGCAGAATTTTCTAATTTGTGGCTCAGCAAACTTTAAAACTGTGATAATAGCAATAAAATATGCTAACAAGTTGTAACAACATTCATTTCAAAATAATTAATACCAGCCAGGAGAAAGAGAATTTAATATGACATATAGGTGTTCCGTGCAATGGCCTGGAATTTATTCAGTGCCTGAGGGAGGTTCAGAAACACTTCATTTCAATGGCAGCTCCGAGACATTGTTAATTGGTTAGCATGAAGCCATAGAAAATGAAAGTTGAGCCAGGTTCAAATGGAATGCACGTCCTCAGCGGTTTATTAAACGGTAACAGTCAAAATTCGCGCATTTTTTTTAAGTCCTACTTTCGCTTACCTGAGCCAGCAGCTTTATTTCGTTCACTTCATTGTTCAGTTCCTCAAGGTCTCTACCCAAGTGCACACAGAACTGCTTAATCCTTGCCTCCCTGTCTCCCACAGACTTATCGATGGCGTTCCGAACAGCGACGATGGACGGCCTCATGGTTGCAAAGACCGCGAAGTCTTCGGGCGGCGTGGGGACCTGGTACTGCTCGATGAGCTTGTACATCTGAATCACCACGTTCCCTTCGTCCTCAAGGCTTTCGATCTAGATGGAAGCACGGGCTGCTCATCGCGCAAAGCAGAGTCCCAGCACACCCCTTGAGACCCATCTGACAGGAGGCAGCCCCCGCGCGCGGGAACATCACTCTGCGACCACCCGGCAGGTGAGCTGTGCGTTGAAAGTAGACCCAACCGGCCAGAGCCGGCTGGGTGATGAACGCGGTCCCTGCTGCCACACAGGGAATGGGGCCCAGGAGGCAAGTCGCCCAGAGCTGAGCACAGCGATACTGCTCTTACATAAACCCTTGGCTTTCTCTCTCCAGGCTCTTGGGGTGACGTATGAGTTACCCCGGGGAAAAGCACAGTCATCTGCCCTTTGAGAAGGCGCCACTTCTTGAAATGAGAAACCCAACTGTTACTTTTACAGGCACGTGAAGTAGCCTTTTCTATGACTTCTGCTGACAATATATGACAGAGCATCCAGTTGCTAATGACTCATTTCACTCAGCTGGATTTTTTTTTGTATTTTAATTTGTAACCCACTTTCAATTTCCAGACATTTAAGAAAATGATTTATCTCTATTTTAAATGCCAACTGGCATGACTGAAAGCTTATGAAAAGCAGACTATTGAAACAATGCTAGAATGCCTGCCACGGGGAAGAGCTTGGAGGAAGGAAGCCAAGTTTCCAGAAAGAGAGAAATAAGAGAGACAAAAAGAAAGAGAGAGAGAGGGAGAGTGAGTGAGTGAATGAGTGTGTGTGTGTGTGTGTGTGTGTGTGTGTGTGTATGAGAGAGAGAGAAGGTCGACCCCATCATTTGCATCACACGATAACCCCTTATCTGCTATCATCCCCTGAGTTGGGTTTCTCTCATTCCTAACAGGAAGGTTCCTGAATATTATGCAAAAATAGGGAAACAGGTTGAGAAGGATCAGGACTTCCATTTAAGCTGCAATTCCATGGCCATTTAGCACAAATAAGAATTGCAGTAAACTGGGGCTGAGAGCACTGGCTTTGCGGTCAGAGACCCAAGTTTAAATTCCAGCTCTGCTACATGCAGTTCCGTGATCTTGGCCACTGTGACCTGCTTCCTCACCTGCAGAACAAAAATATAAATTATCTACACTTAAGCTTTTGTGAGTGTTAAAAACGTAACGAACGTAAAAAAAGCAGTGCGTGTCCGACTAGCAGCAAGGGTTTGATTGGCGGTAGCTGTCCTTGCTGGGATGCGGGGCATCCGCTTGTTTTGTCTGAAGGTGTTTCTGCTATCTTGACAGCGTTTCTTGACCTTCAGTCCCTCGACTTCCCTCATCTGCCTTCCTTACTTAACACAAGATCCGGAATAGCGAGTTACAGAAGAATCAACTCACCCGTTCCTGAATTTCGTCAAGAAATACCAAGCTGTTAACATATTCTATGGTGGTAGTTGGGACAAATTCAAGTTTATATTCTGCATCTTGTGCCTCAGAGATAATGGCGTCCACTTTTTTCTTGCTCTGGCGAGGAAGCATATAACTGAGCACCTAGGAGAGAAAAAGGAAACGTGGATCATAACTACTTGGGTATTTCCATTTTATTATACATTTTAGGTAAATTCTAACTGAATGGCTGTGAAGTCGGCAGGTATCGGAAGCAGCAGTGTATTTCCACACTGAATCACTGCTTGTCAAATGAACTAACAGGAAGGGCTAGATTTGAAGACCATTTCCAGAACAAGCCAGATTGCACAGCTTATTAAAAAGTTTGCCTAAATGCTCTGATCGTTTGCAAGCACCCTTTCTGCTGCTTTGCCCTGCACGTGGGACCCTCCCCAGCCTTCACTTCCACTCCTTTCCTGATGGGTGGCAGTGACATGGTTTGGAGGAAATTAATCTCTCCTTTGGAAACGAAGGTGGAGTCTGATTGGTCACAAGGCAGATCTGAGCACGGCTTCCTTGGGCTAATGTGATTGGATTAGGGCGAACCTCTGACCTCAGTTGGTCTAATTAAACAGAAACCCAAGACTTTTGTTCAAGAATGAGAGAGATAGGTACTTAGAATCTCCATCTCTCTTTCTCTCTCTGTACACAAACGGGGAAATAATTAGCCTATGGAGATTTTGATAACCATTTCAGAAACAAGACAGGAGAGGGTATAGCTCAGTGGTAGAGCATATGTTTAGCATGCACGAGGTCCTGGGTTCAATCCCCAGGACCAAAAATAAACGAGCCTAATTACCTCTCTCCCCACACCGCCAAAATAAAAAGAATTAAACACTACAATAATAGATAAATAAATAAAATATTTAAAAAAATATTTGTAGAGACCATAATTAAATTTTTTTTCCTGGTTCATAGTTACCTCCAAGCATCTCAAAGGTGATGGAATTAGTTTTTCTTTCAGTTGCTTAGTGTCGATGAGCAGCAATCCTACATTTCTGGTGGGTCTTAAAGCTACTGCGTCCTTGTGCTGTCTGTGATATTTTTCCAGTTGTTCACTAAAGAACTTAACATCTACATAAAGTAATTCATATAAGGCACAAAATACATGTGTTAGATTTTTAAAGGATCATTACAAAATATATCAAAAACCACTGCATTAATAAATTTGCATTTAAGGGATAAATTAGGAGTTTGGGATTAACAGAGACACACCACTATATATAAAATAGATAAACAATAAGGATCTACTCTATAACACAGGGAATTATATTCAATTTCTTGTAATAATAAATAATAGAAAAGAATCTGACTATATATGTATGTATATGTACAACTGAATCACTTTGCTGTACACCTGAAACTAAAATTGTAAATGAACTACACTTTGATGAAAAACAAAATTAAAAATATAATTTACAAATATATTTATAAAGTATTGTCCACATGTAGAGTACCACGTATAACTTTAAAATGTTAATTCAAAATGCTTCATATTGTATTCTTGTAATAAAGAAACTAGTATTTAATAATATAAATATGGTTCCTGGTTCCTGTTAAGAACGGCACCTGAAAAGAACTTGCAAGTGCGTTAGAGGACCTAGTCTGGAAGAGACTAGACTCCAGAGTCAGGTGGGTTTGAAGTCGGTGCAACCCAAGGGTCCTCTCACAGGGAACCTCAAAGGAAGCAGCTGAGGATGCTAACAACAGAAAGCGTCCCAACACAAGGGACCGAGCACAGGTACAGCCACCCTCGCTCCTCTCCCAACGACCCTGCCCGCCCGCCCCCCACGCCGAGGGCAAGGCCTGCGGCGGTCTGTGTTGGCCACATGCTGCGTTCTGATCACCTTCCCGTCTCCATTTTCTCCCTTCTCCAATCTCCCCGTGCCAGCGGAAGCCTGATTATCTTGAATATACTTTTACCCCACTATTGGTCAAAAACAGCTCTCCCTAGTACACATGTAATACTAAACTACTCTGCTTGACTTTCGAAATCCTGTGCCCTCTGGGCCTTTAAAAATTTAGCTAACTTTATTCCCAATTACTCCCTCCACTTGGGTCACATTGATGTCCTTACTGCTTCCTGATCTCCTCCTCTGACCCCCCTTCACCACCCCAGAGAGAGAAGGGTGTTGACTCCCACCTTAATTCACACCATCTCCTCTCCCGGATGTAAGGGGGGGTCTGACACAGTATAAAGAAGACACCAGGTAGTCGGCAGACCCAGGCTCAAGTCTCTAACTACCATGTAGCTTTGGGTACGTCCTTCAAACCTTTCTGAGCTTCAGTTTCCTCATGATACAAAAAAAGGGCTGGTGATTATCTGTCCTCCCCACTTCAGAAGGTTCTGATGTGTGTGTCTTTGAGAAGTGACAAAATAAAGGTATCAAAGGGACCAAGGAGATCTCTGGGCAGGAAACCTGAGGAATGCTGCCCAGTCTAGTATTTTCCAAACTTAGTTGAACGCAGAGTCTTTTTCATGGTATCATGTCATATTCTTCAGAACAGCGGTCCACAGAACAGCAGTTTAGGAAACACCAATTGGATCCAATACTTTCACTTTATACAGAAAGAAATTTGGCTCAAAATAGGCTAAGTGACTTGGCCACGGTCACACATAGCCACGTTCAAAGGAGAAACGAGCAAAGTTGAAAGGAGAGCTGTCTTTCTGAGATAGAGGAGGGGCGGGATGTAGAATGGATAAGTCAGAGAAAACGACTTCTAAGCCACTTGTTAGCTGTGTGATCTTGAAGTTGCCTTGTCTCTGTATATTTCCATTTCCTTGTTTATAAAATGAGAATACTAACACTTGCCTCATAGAATTACAAGGATGAGATGAGATGCCTGAAAATCACGTGGCATGGTATCACGAGTGTGCAGCAAATGTAGAAATTATTAGTAAACACTGACATTTATAGGAATTTAGTGGTGAGATATAGCTGATGACTTCAGGAAGCCAGAACTTGTCCCCTGATGGTCTTCTGGGGCTAGACAGGGGGCAGTCTGGCTAAAAGTTCAGTTAAACAGACATTTATTAAGTATCTGTAAGGTGTACCAGATGATGTTACAGGAGTTTGGGGGACGGAGAAAACAGGTATGGTGTCTATTAACCTCTGGCGAACAACGGGGTGTAGAGGTTTAGGAAGCACCAGGGATTTCCTAAAAGAGGGAGGAACACGACATTGAGGAGTCCAGGCCAATGTGCTCCAGGGTTTCAGACAACGAAGAGTTAACACCTGGGTGACCCAGCTTTCAGGACTGGGACAGGGTTGCCAGGCCAAGGCAGGACAAGAGGAAGGGCAGCCTTGGAGTCTGGGGGCCTCCTCCGGACGGGAACTTGGCGAAGGAGCAGAGTTGTCCAACATGGGGAACGTGGCAGCTGGAGACCAGGAGGCCTGGGCTCAAGGAACCCAGATGTCAGTCTGCTTTGACACGCACAGCAAACATGTTTAGCAAGGACAAACGGAAAACGTACCGGGTTCTTGAAGCTTAAGAGCTTGTAGATCAAGACCTTCATTTTCCTTGAAGAATATCTGAAACTTTTCAAACGTAGCTGCATATAACTGAGCAGATTGAAATGCTGCCTGTATGGTTTCCTAAATGTTGTAAGCAGACAAATAAAATTATATTTTTTCCAGAGCACAATTCAATTCTATATCACTAAACCAGCACAAATGCCTCCTCTGTGCCCAATACTATGCTTTGACCTGGGGACACATAAGTAAGGGAAGACACCATCCTTGATGTCAAGGAGCAGTCAATGGATTCTCTTATGAAACTCAAAAAACTACAACAACAACTTCAAATCTGACTTTTGAAGAGTTGTCCCTTATAACTGAAAGGACAACTGACAATTTTTTTAAGCTTCATGGTGAACTTACACATCGCGAGTTTAAGCTGATAAATCAATACATACCCTGGGCAGAGACGCTTTGAGACAACATCCTTTTTTCATCGGACCTGATGCTGGTCTGAGTCTCTTACTTCTGTAAGTTATTTGATCATTTTGCTTTGAGACCTGGAGGAATTTTTCTTTAGCTTTAAAAGCTCACAGTTTTAAGGGCCTGTATCTCCGAGTCGATTTTTCTAGGTCAATTTTTCAAGGTGTCCTTAGGCCCTTCCACTATATGGACTACCATTTAATTTTCTTGGACTATAGTCACGTGTTTGTCCTACCCCTTGTTTGCTTTTCTCCTTCAGAGACTCCAATTATACGCATGTTATTTCTTCTTGGCTTGTTTTCTATTCCAATTCTTCTTTTCTCTGACCATTTTTACATGTATCTCTAGCTTATTTTCATTATCTTGGTTGGTATTGCAGTCTTTTTTCTATATTCATTATCTTTCCTGTAATTTTATACTCAATCTGTTCTTAAGCTCTGTGGTTTTGTCATTTGAGAACGCTTAAATTTTGAATTTTTGACTCAATGTCATTTTACACACATTCAAAGCTTGTTGGAAGATATTTAGTTTATAGTGCAGTTTTTGTTTCATGGTTTTTGGGGAGGGAAGAGAAGGAATATTCATCAGCTGTTTTAATTTTCACTTTCTGTTTTCTCCTTAGAGAAGCTTCTTATCTATTTAATATATTTTAATTTCTTCAGCTCATAGATTTGGCATGATTATAATTCAAGGGAATTCTGTTTTTAGTCAGTGTAGCAATATGCAGATTATTTCATTTTATGTTTTTTTGGCCATAGGGAATGAGTTGGGTGTATTCTGGTTTTGGGGTTCTTTTTTTTTCTCTCAAGGACCTTAAATTTTCACTGGTTGCTTTATTTCCCCATGCACCACCCAATGTTCAAATAATGCCTCTTCTTCCTTTTTAAATCTCACTTTCTCCCCTAGAAATAATGCCATCTCAAATAGCTTGCACTTTTAAGTCTTTCTCCTACAGTCAGTGCTCTGATCTACCAGGATTTTTTTTAAAAAGTCACTTTACCATTTAGAAATTAAGTAACATTCAATTTAAAGATAAGATAAGAATAAAATATATTACTCCATTTCTTCAAAATCGAAATTAGAAAAAATAGTTTCAGTGAAAGAAAGTATACCTTTATTTGAAAGATAATTGTGTGAAAATTCTTATCATCATCAAACACTGCTGCTAAGCTTGGACCAGATCCACAAGTTTTCTCTTCCAGCTTGTTGTTAATGTAAGGGCTGGTAAAAGCATCAAAATACGTATCGGGCACGAGATTAGGAACTGATAACACAGTGTTCTGGAAGTGATTAACTGCACCTGATATACCATCCTGTTGGAGAAAGAAGCATAAACATACATGTAAACATGTCTATGCTTATATTCATAAATATTTTTGAATTTTCTGAAATGCTAAAATAAATAAGAAAAACTCATTCAACCATGCTAGACACTGTGTTGATTCTGAGTGTATGACAAATCGGAAGACACAGCCCTTGTCTTCAGAAAATAGGTTTTCTAATAGAGAGGCAGATGAGCAAAAAATTACGACACATTAAGGTGAGTTCTATATTTGAAATATGAACAACACACAGAAAAGTCATAAGGGAAGGTGGGCCAAAGTCTGCCTAAGAGAATCAGGGAAAGTTTAAAGTGGGGGTTAAATGTTCATATTCTTTGAGCAATAATTTTCATTCTATACATCTATATTTTCCTAAGAGAAGAAATTAGATGTGTAAACAATGATTCATATGCCAGGACAATCCCTGCAGCATTACTTTTAATAAAAACGAATTAAATAAATCCTTTAGTGTTCAAAAATAGAATGATGGTTAAGTTAGGGTATATTTATATGACTAAAAATTAGGCACCGCTTCAAAATGGTGTCTCTGATGATTGATTAATCATATGGGAGAAAGCTTTTAATATAATGTTAAGTTAAAGAAAAGAGCAGGATAAAAATGGTGCATAATATCCCATGTTAAAAATGTTCACGTAAAATCTCATGGTAGAGTTAGGTACGCTGGTGTATCAGTACGTACTTAAAACATGATTGGAAAAAACATATAAAAATGTTTAAAGGTTATTTCCATTTCTGGCACATGGGATTACAGATGATTTAACAATCTTTTTTCGGGGTTTTTCAAGTCCTCTTCAATGAACATGAATCAGTTCATAATTTACAATAAATACATGATATAAATGATATTAATGATATAAAGAAAAAGTACTTCTTGAGATGCGTCTTAGAAGATGAGCAGGAGCTTGTCAAGTGTACAAGACAGGAGTATAGTCCTTGTGAGTCACTGTGTGTGAGAGGCCCGAGGCGGCCAGCAGGTCTGGGCGCTGGAGTCTAAGTGCCAGTGTGGAGAAATGCAGTCACAGTGCAGTCGGTCCCCTGAAGAAAGGCCTCATGAGTGACGCTGGGTTCCAGTGTTAGCCTGTAGTCCACACCCAGATTGTGACCAGGGATTACCCTGAGTTCAAAGGGTCCCAATGTCAGATAAGTTTGGCAAGAAACCTTAGGTTAAACAAAGTTCAACAGGACTCTTCTCTGGATCTGCTAAAAGAAGGATTTCCCATATTTGTTAATATGTAAATGCTTATCACAAACCCTTTTCTCCTAGAATGCCCATCAAACATCTTATAGAGCATCCTTTGAAAATGCTACCATAGGCAATGGAGAAATTTAATTTTAAGTGGCATGATCAGATTTGCCTATGAAATACTCTTAAACAGTCAGCAATGGAGAAAATGGACCAGAAGGTTGAGAGGCGGGCGGGCCGGTCAGAAGAGACTACTCCAGCAGCCCCGATGAGAGGTGATGAGGTTCCCGTTGAGGGAGCTGGAACGAAGGTCAACACACAGGACTCTCTGATTTGATCTCAAAAAGGTGCGGGAGGATTTAGGATGGCTCCCAGATTGCTGGCTTGCGCATCTGGATGCTGCCTTTCATTGAAATAGGGATATGGATGGAAGGAGGAGGAAGTTTTGGAAGAAGTTGGCAAATTCAATTTATTTTGGTGACTTGGAGCTCAACGTGGAGATTTCCAGATGGCTCTGAGTCCGGAGCTTTGAAGAAAAGTACTGGGTAGAAATATATGCTTAATGTCACCACTCTAGAAATGGCAGTTAGAGCCATGGGCACAGACAGCTGGAAAACAAACAGGACGTGGAGGGGAGGGAGCCCTTCAGGGTCACTGCAGGCAAAGGTCAGACAAAAAAAGAAGCTCTGAGAAAGAGGACTGAGAGGGAAAAAAATTGGCACCGGAGTAAAACCAAGAGAAATTAAACGCAGGGTGGGGTCTATTTCCAGAGTGGGAGGGGTAAGTAGAGTCAAGTGCAACATGTCTGTCTGTCCAACACAGCGGGAAGGAAAAGAACTGAAAAATGTATGCTGGATCCAGCACTAGGAAACCACAGTTAACCCGAGCAAGGACAATGTCAGACGTTAAGACTTGGGCATGTCACTTTCCTTCAGACTAAACTTTATATGTGCGTGTGTGTTTGAAACAACTAGATGACAACACGTGTCAAGACTAATGACTGAAAAAATAGGGAGAAAAAAATAGAAAATTCATGATAGTCCTGTTTATGCTGCCACTGGCTATTTTGGGGCTACATGAAGTAACATCTTACGTGTGAGCACATGAACATGCTGGACCCACAACTGCATGTGTAGGAATTAAAGATTCCCATGTGGAGTATAGGGTCCCCACAATAGGAAATACAGACAGTGTCAAGGTTCTCAAGGCACTTGGGGCTTAAGGAGAAAAGCCAGCGGCTCGCTGAAGAGAGCCCTCTGGTGTCACCTGCATTCCATGTGAAGGTCATGAGTCTTCCGGCCCAGAAGGGACCCGAGAGGCCGGCGTCTCTCCTGAGTGTGGTTCCAACCACAGGGATCTCAGCAGTCTGCTTGTCCTTGTAAATATCCTAAAGTAGCCTGGCTACCTGATGAATTACAGAACCACAGACCGCTGGAGGAGGAAGCAACCTTAAAACTCATCTGCCTCCTCTTCTTACAGATGCATAAACCGAACCCCAGAGATGAGTGGTTTTCCAAATGCCAGAGAGCTTATTAATCGTAACGCCAAGAATAGAATCTAGACATTCTGATTTCTAGTGCTTTTGTGCCACGGTACACCAGCTAACAGCAGGAGATACAGACTCTGGTTGGTTTATTAATCTACGCCTGGACCCAAATGGGGAAGGCAGAATTCTAAGGTGGCTCCCAGGATTCCCGCTCCCTGGTTCCATGCCCTGTCTACTCCCCTCCTCTTGAGTATGGGGGGGTTCTGTAAATTTACGGGATGCCGCACCCATGATCAGGTTACACTGTATGGAAAGCTGAAGGGGTTTTGCAGATGTAATTAAGCTGACTTTGAGTTAATCAGAAAGGTGATTATCCAGGGTAGACCCAACGGAACGAAGTCAAAGTCCTGAAAAGAGGGATGGGGCCCTTCTCAAAGGAGATTCTCCAGCTGGTCGTAGAGAAGCCAACACCACACTGCAGACCGCGCACAGAACTGGCCGCGTGGAAGGAACTGCGGGTGGTTTCTAGGGTCTAAGTGTGGTCCCTAGCTGACTTCTCTCAAGAAACCGGGGACTTCGTCCTATAGCTGCTTAGAGATGAACTTTTCTTTCTTTTTAACCAAAGTATTATCAGTTTATGATGTTGTGTCCATTTCTGGTGCACAGTAATAATGTCTCAGTCATACACATACGTACACGTATTTGTTTTCATATTCTTTTTCATTATAGGTTATTGCAAGATATTGAATATAGTTCTGTGTGCTGTAAGAGATGAGCTTTTTCAACAACCTGGGGGAACTTAAAAGTAGATCCTTCTCCAGTCGAGCCTCTGAGGATACTTCAGCCCAGACAATCCCTGAAGGGCAGGCTGGAGAGGCCCTCAATTCCTGACCCGCAGACACTGAGGTAATAAATGGCTGTTGTTTTAAGCCGCCAAATTTGAGCTAATTTGCTAAACAGCAACAGATAACTAAAACCACAAAATTCTCTTACACGCAACACACTTCAAAAAATTTCAAACGTGGTATCTACAACAGAGTGATTTCTTGAATTCTTATGGAGGGGTGCCTAGAGTCAATTCCAAATTTTGTGTAGGGTGTGTTCTTTTGATGGTGTACCCCACCCAGCCCCCAGTCCGTCTCCAGGTTAAGTAAAATGCGCTAAACTTTCGGAGACTTTTTACATAGAAGTCCTGCTGTGCACAGAACAGTGCTCTTTCTCTTATGATCATTTTGAAGAAGGGACAGCAGCGATCCTGCCAATCATTTAACAGTAGAACAGTAGGTACTTATACATGAATGCTGTCTGAGAAAGCACATACCAGAAAGTCTTCCAGAGAAGGCTCCAAGAGCAGTGACTGGACGGTCAAAATCAGCTCCGTGAGAAACATGGGGATGAGGGACTCGTCCTCTTCCTGTCTCTCCAACACAGGGGGCCCCTGCAATGAACACATGTGCAGTGTTGTGAGTCCCGAGGTATGAAACACGAACACCTGTGCTACAAAAGGCACGTGAACTTCAGCTCACACAAGTAGCTGATTTTGCAGCATTGGCATGTCTTTCAAAGACTATTACTGTGAAAATGTGAAGCAAAGGCAAATATTGAAAGACCACACAACAGTGTAACAGACTTCTCTCCGTGTGAAAACACTAGCATCAAAGTGGAAAGGCGAACGACAAACTGGAAAAAACGTATCAGTAACGTCTAGAGACACAAGACTGATAATGTTAAAACACAAGTACACTTGATACAGTCAATAGAAAAAACGGTCAAATTTGTACTATTTCATTTCAAACATCTCAGGTTACTCTGTGTTTCTAATATCAACATCCTCCCAAGGGCTTGGCTTCTTTGCGCCTCTAAACCACTGTTAAGCTCTTTCATTTATACCAGCTTCCCTGCTTCTCTTTGCCATTTCATGCCCACGGTGGCCCCCAAACTATACGCTTCTTGGGGGCAAGTATTCTATGCTCTTCGTCACCCTATACCCAACACCCAGCACAGGGATTGGTACAGAGAAGATACTTAAGGAACGTTTGTTGAGTGAACACATGAGTAACCTTTAGCAAATGCCTACGAGAGAGACCGCAGGATTCATTCAGGATGGTAGATGCTTCCTCTGTTTTCAGAGACTTGCTGACATGCTGCTCTCCCGTCTGCTATTTCAGGTGTGTGGTAGACTCTGATTACACTGCAGAACCCTCTAAGCATTTCGCCTGCTTTTCCAGTCCTCAGAAAACAGCATCGTTCATAGTGCACAGTCAGCACTCCTCAATAAAGGCGAACCAACGAGTTTTCTTAATTGTGTCTCAATATACCTTTTTATCAGCGACCTCAAGTTTCTCTTCTGTAATCCATTTCTGAATGGTCTCTGCTGACGGTGTTCGTTTTAGCTTGACAGTGAGGTAGTTCAAAAGAGAGCTGGCAGAATTCACCGTTAACACGTGCATTGTGTTCTCAATTAGATAGTCGTTTAGACGGATAAAGCTTGAAAAGAAAAAAAAATACAGCTTCAGTTTTCTATAATCACTACATATTTTTGAAAGCGACTTGAAAGCATTTGAATTTTCACATATCCTAGTTTCTCTTTGAATTTCCATTTATATTACAGATCAGAGACTTAGTGTCCGGGAGAGTTGTTCTTGGACATCCTTCATTTTGAAACACAAATACACTCAAAAGATACAGCATCGTTTTAGCTGGGTGTTCTAACCATTCAATAGGATATTTAATGAGCAATACAGTTGTTATGAAAAAAGCACATTGCTTATCTAGCCAAAGGGGTCATACAATTTTTTAAAAAGATGTTTAAAGAATAAGTCAGTAAATACATAAATTCTAATGGTAAAGGTATGAAATCACTCTTATTGAATAAATGCTGTTTGACAGCAACTGCTAACCCCAAGATGGAAATTTTCTGTTTCCCTACTTGAGTGCTTAGAATGCAGACGGAGTCAGCAAGGCATCTGGAATGACTTTATTCTGCTTACGTGGAGGCCTCTAGCCTATGACGGTGGCCTCAGGGACCGCTTCACTGCCTTCTGTTGCAATATACACATTATTATCAGATGATCTCGCATGTAAACTGGGGCACAATTAAAATTTATTCAATACACAGTTGTAAAAACTGCACTAAGTTAGCATGGAGTTACAATCACCAGTGTTTCATAGTCACATACAGCTTTTCAGGTAGCATTTGCTGATTCTGCGTGCAAGAGTTATTTGCAGGGATTGAGTTTTTAGAATGATGTGAAACCCAAACTCTGGAACAACTGCAAGATTCAGCTGGGTAGGCAGCTGGAGGGTCCCCTGGGGGGGTGGTCCTGGAAGGCAGACTCTCCTCCCCAGTCTCCTGGTGGCAAAACCCACCTCTTGAAGTGAGTAGAACTTTTGTGGCCACGCAGCTGCCTTTAGTTCTTTAGGGACCAAACAGGCAGAACAGGTCCTCTAGGCCCATGAATCTCTGGGCCTGACTTCTCCTTACTACAGCCTGCCCTGTGCTCCCGGCTGGGCTAGAGGGGAACAAAGCTTGGTGATCAGAGAGGCGCTCTTGGCCTTGGACATGCCCCCGGGGTGGCAGCTGGAGGCGCGGGCTTCGGGGGCCTGCATTCAGGTTCCGGCGTCCCCCACATCCCTCATCACTATTAGCGAATCCTGTGATGAAGCCTCTAACTTGTAATGAAACGTGAGAAGGATGAATGCTCTGGTCTTCTTGAAAGAACGAACCACCCCTTACCGTGTCAGCCTCGTGCAGTGGTGCCTTTTGCTGGCCTGTTCGGTGTACGTCATTTTCTCGGTGTCTCCAGGAGCAGAAAACTCAATGAAACTTCCACTCCCTGGTATTTTACCATAACCTAAGAGCAACAGAAGACACAGAGATAAGAACTCCTGTGTAAAAATCCCGTTCCTTTTAATATGGCTCAAGAGACAAGTAAAATGACTAAATGCTTTGGTTTAGGAGATATTTCAAACTCCAGGGAACAGGCCAGTTACCCCAAAGAATTCCACATCAAAGCATTTCAACTCAACTGCAGACTCTAGACAGCTTATTAACATCCTCTCTAAGAGGATCTGATCTCTGTCACCTGCCACCTCTTTCTAGGAACACCTTCATCCTCCTTTTCAGCCTGCAAAATGTTATCCTTCAGATACCCTGCAGCTGGGGCCAATCCTGAGCTCCATCCAGCCCCTTAATTTTAACAAACCTACCGTCTGTACCAGTGGGTTGGACTTACATTTAAACAGAGAGGCCCTGAGTTCACTGTAGAACGCACGTGAGAGAGAGGTTCTGTAAGCAGCTGAGAAATACTATACACAAGCAGGGATAATGCAGGGAAGACACGGTGTTTACTGTTTTTTCCTCCCTCTATGATACACATCAGGCCTATCATCCATCAAGTGCAAGTTCAGAAGAATTGAAATCTAGGGTCATGATTTAAACTTCAGGAAAGTAGCATGACCAAGAGTTCCTGTTTCAGAAAGCCACCACTTCTGATCTCCTGAAGTTCTGTCCCCTTCATACCCTCAGCATATTCACGTGCACAGTCATCAGGAACAAATCCTGCAGCGTGCAGAGCAACTCGACAGGCCTTCCTCACCACATCTTTCGCCACGTTTCGAAATTCTTCTAGACGCTCTGTCACCTAGACATCGGCGAATATGCATCATTAGTGCCATCAAAGTATTAACAGGAAAAAAATCTTGAAACTTACACACAAAACTCCTCACCTCTTCCAGCTTTACGACTTGCGCAGTTTTAAATTCTTCCAGGGTGTAGGTGTGACATTTTTCAATATAACAAAGTCCCATAAAACTCAGATGATAGCATAATTCATTTATTTTGAGAAGAGCTGGTCGCAAATTCTGAATGAAAATAGAAATTTATCATTATTTAGTAAAAAAAAAGCTCAAACCCTTCTTTTTCAAGTATAAAAATATTTGGAAAGCAAGAATGGCAATTAAGGGAAATAAATAGCTCTTTATGTTAACTTCAGTTACAGATACAAAGTGCATACATTGAAAAAGGACACTTTTGAAATTTTGTTCTACAAGTGTTCTCTGATCAGATTTAATTTGAATCCTTTCTTTTCCTTTTGCATACACGTCTTTTAGCTGTGAAACGGAGGGCAAGTAACAGAGGACTGGACAGTATCTTAAATTGCTAGGTTTGGCTAAAGCTACTGATTCTCAGTGTTAGCTTAGGACTGTACAGTGTCCAGTCAGCATGTAATGGAGGGGCCCGTCTACTAAGCTAAGAGGCTACGACCTGGAAAGAAAATCTGGTCACTATTAAGAACCTGTCTTGCAACGTGGGCTGGGAGAATGAGTGGAAGTATTTGTGGAATTACGCCACGCAGTATTAACTTCGTCTTCCTCTATGCCACCGTCACAAATCGGAGTCCTAGGCTGCTGGTTTTCAAAGCACACGTTCCAAGGCCACTCAACCTCACTTCTCTTAATCTAATCAATGGAGGCGCTGTTACATTATATAAAAAAGTTAATTTTATTCGTATGTGACCCTGGCTGAAGTTTTATACACAGCACACTCTTGGACTCTTTTCTAGGAGTTTCCAAAACAGGACAAACAAAAGCCATTCAGACTGACATGAAACAGCACTTTAATTATTTATTCTAAGTACAAATAAAGGGAAGTTCTAATCAGCAGAGTCCCCCACGAAGAGACCATGATGATGCGAACAGATGCAGAACAAGCATCCGACAGACTCATCGTGGCTTTGTGATAAGAACATTCAACAAACCAGGAACAGAAAGCACCCTCCTCTTCACGTCAGACTTTAACATGAAGGACTGAAAACTTTCCCGCTCAAATCAGGGACAAGGCAAGGATTTCTGCTCTTGCACTTTCTGTTCAGAGGGTTCTAGCCGGGGGACTTAGGCAAGAAAATTAAACAAGGGTCATCCAGATGATAAAGGAGGAGTAACACCGTATCTGCACCTACTTGCTGATGGCATATTCTTGTTCGTAGATTATGCTAAGGAATACACAAACACATGCACAAGAACCACACTGCCAGAGTCCACGATGAATTCTACAAGGTTGCAGGAAACAAGCTCAATGCACAAAAGTCAACTGTGTCGCTATCTAGAACATACATAAACTTCTTATGTATACATTTAAAATTTACATATATTCTATATATATATATATATAGTAGAATATGTATGTGATTAAAATGATGAGAACTTTCTGGTCTCTTAGGGCTACATTAAAGAGAAGATGTTGTCAAGGCCAAAGGACTACCAGGATGGATGGCAGGCAGAGAGAATGGCAGATCCCAGCACATAATAGAACAACCCTTGAGGACGGACAGAGGTAATTTCAGAGACTAATGCAGGGAGAACTATTTTACCTACCTAGTAATAAATTTATAAACTGTAGAGTGTCCAAGACACGGTAAAAGATGAGGAGTGGTAAAAAGGTAGTAAAGTAGGTTCAAATGATTGACAGACCCTGAATGAGGTCAGAGGTCTAGGGGTTGAGTTTGATACCGGGAAGGATGAGAATGGTTCCCACAGCTCAGAATGCCTGATGGAATGGAGGGCCTGAGGTGGTGCACCTTACACACCTGCCTTGCACTCATATCTATGCTAGCCGTATTCCTTCAATATTCTTTTTATGATACAACTGATGTCTTGATAATGATCTTTCGGATTACCATATGCAAAGTGAAGGAAATGATCAGTAAAAAGCAAACTTGAGGCTTCTGATTTGAGAGGGCAGTGACTCAGTGTCATAAAAATAGACAGCTGAGAACTCTGACAGGAATGGTGATGGCAGTTGATTCCCAGGAGCCAGGGAGAAAACTTCTATTGAAAGTGGAAATGCAAGGAGTGGGTAGAGATTTTAAATATGGCCACACACCCTTCAACAGTCCTTTTTCCATGATTACCCCCTCCTCCAAAGTAAATACTAAAAATTTCCCTACTGTTGGAATCCACAGCAGAAAGGAAAACATATGATGCATTGGGAGGTATTGGTTCATGAAAAAAAGCCCCCAAATTATTTTGGACTATGAAGTCCAGAGTGTCTCAGAGATGAGAAGAAGAAATAGGAGTTGCCAGACTGCTCTGTTCAAAAGGATGTACAGGGGAATGGGAACAGCTCAGTGGTAGAATGCACACTTAGCACACACGAGATCCTGGGTTCAATCCCCAGTACCTCCATTAAAAAAAAAAAGGATATACAACTTTCCTGATCAGCAATAAAGGGGGTCATAAATCCAAACTTCTCAGGCTGCTTCTAATTTAAGGGGACCTGTGCAACAATCTTGTTATAGTTTTATATTTTGCAA